TAATTCTAGAAATTCATTTAAATGGCTCAAAACTTCTAAAATTCATATCTAATTCATTAGAACTCCGAATTGAGCCATTCAACTTGCAAAATTCATCTAAAATTGAGCTCTACATGTTTGTTTAGTTTTTATGTACTGTTTTCTTGGTTTTTATTAGAGTTTTTCCTCGTTTTGCGTGCCAGCGTGTAGAATCCGTCGTTTCGGAAGTCCGCGGTCGCGAGGAAAAGAGTTCGGAAGATCAAAGTGAAGAAGCAAGGCAAGTAACACATTCCCCTTGAGCATGTTGATCCCAATTTATAAATGTTTTACTGTTTGCAAATAAATATGCATGTTTTGCTAATTACATGGGGTCAGGGTTTTACCTATCTGCTCGCTTGTGCCATGTTTACTTGATATCTGTCCTTTGTCAAGTTTGGGTTATAAATCGACTAGCTCGTGTTACTTATGTGACCTAGCTAGAACTATATGCTTAGCCATGCTTAATTACCACTAGCTCAGATGATGGGATAATTACAGTATTAGACCTTTTTAGTATCAGAATGAGCTGCGTGCTTGAGACATCTGGCCATGCTTCATGGTCGTAATTATCCAACTAAAATGCGAGTGAATGGTGGGCTGTGGGTGCATGGTTTTGCTAGTCGCTCCCATGGCAATTAAGGACCGGTTCACGGGAAACCCTGAAAGAATTCCTCGTACTTACCACAAGCCAGCGTGGGCAACGGCTGGGCTTGTAGTGTAGCTTTTCTCTAGCCGACGTACCCAGGCGAGGGTGGGCGTGATGGAGTTGGGTCGGCCGGGGTGTCCGGTTGATCGGCTTCCGGATTCACTGCGGCACGAAAGGGGGGCTGCCCGTTGCCTGCTGGGGACGGGGGCGAACCCTAAGGTGTGGTGCGATCTGTTAGAGGGGGTTATGCGAAGGGTCCTGTCACGGCCTCTTTCCGGTATGTCGTGGTGGCATATCGGCGCACGGAAACATGTCGTGGGGCTGTGTCTTGTGGGTACAGTTGTACACCTCTGATCAGAGTAAAACTATTCGAATAGCCGTGCCCGCGGTTATGGGCGGTCGACTAGATTCACCGTGATTAGTCCTACCTTAATAAATCGACCCAGTACACTGTAGTTCAGGTGGGTTGGTTGGGCCTGTTCAACGTGGTGTAGCGTTGATCAGTGGAGATTTAATGTTACTTTAATTACTCAACAGTTTTACTGTTTTGCTCAATAAAATGTTTTGCAACCGCCTTTATGCAAATAGCCACAAACCATCCTTGTATCCCCTTGCACGTCTGCATCGTTGGTGTGGCTTGCTGAGTACGGTGGTTGTACTCAGCTTTGCTATTATTCCCCCTTTTCAGAAGTGTAGTGCTTCTGAGCTGAAGACGAAGTTAGAAGACCAAGGCTCAGACCCCAGTTGAGTTTTGCCTGTGGAGTGGAGCTGAAGCCCCGCTAGGATCGTCTTTTTCCGCTGCTGCTGCTTTCGTTTCGGTGCGAGGACTAAGTGCTTCTTCTGTAAGTATTTTACGCTTTATTTACGTTTGGAACTGTATATTACTTGTCGTTTTGTGTACCCTGGCTGGTCATGGACAGGGATTTAATACACAAAATAGTCTAGAAATTTGGGCTAAATTTATGGGCGTGACAAGTACTCAATATTCCTGACCATCGAAGCTCCGAGGCAAGGCTGGAAGGAGGAGGACTCGTCGCATCCGCAACGATATGGACGAGTCGGAGGCTGGCAGGGTGAAGCGTTGCAGCAAATGCGATGAACATGGGCACACCTACAAGCATTGTCCTAAAGACAAGGAGAAACCAAGTGCGGCGGAGGCAGGACTATCAGGATCAGCAGCAGATGGAGCTCGCCCTACGGGTGAAGGCACTACCTCCACTCGACCACGTCCTAGGCGTCGTCGTGCCACGTCTAGCTATGTGGTGTAGTTCTTATGTTCTATGTTGGCATGTGGCTTTGCTTGTAATTCGTTTCGAACTTATCGATGTGTTTATGTTTCGTCGTGTAATGTCAGACTTCGGCATGTCATGTCTTTAGGTCTCGTGATGTAACATCAGACTAAGGCGCCTAACATCTTTAGGTATGCTGATGTATGTTGGACTTCGACACGTAATGTTATGTTATATTATCGAACTCTACATATATGTTAAATTGCACGTCATCGTTATGTACCATTAGTAACGTTTGCTATATTTAAATAGCCTGTACTCTTGTTGTACATAATTATTCTCATGATTTTATTAATATTTCATAATTTTGCAAGTTATCTTTTGTTTTATATTACTACTTTTTGAATTGTTCTAACACGAAACACTATATTTTTCAGAGATGGCACGTCAGGATACACCTCAGTTGTTGGACCCGGCGATAGATCACCGACACCGGTCTCACCTTACTGCGGTGCAGGGGGCTCAGCTTGGGACGTTCCAGGCACTGCGCCCAGGACTTCGCTCGTGCTGTGAGTACCTTGCATCGCATCATTCCTTTATGTTTTCATGTCTTTCTCTTCGTGAAATTTTACGAATATGTACGAACAAATTAACCATGCAGGTCGACGACATCAACCGGGTCGTCGTTGACGGTTCAACGACAATCCAACGTTTAGGCGCGGGGATTCCGGTACCCGTAGTGCAGTTCTGGCAGTACACCGGGACTTCGTCACAGGCACCCGGCATGTCGAGTCAGGGTCCACCACTGGACCATGCTAGGACCTTATCGGACCGCTTGCTGCCTTCCACCTTGCTCTTCGACATCACTGACTTCGACTTCGCTTCAGGCTCGACAGAGGACGTCATCGGCCCCTCACAGCTGGGAGGCGCACCGCCGGTGCATACGCAGGACCAGGCGCAGGCCTCTCCTCCGCCAGACACTCGTGCTACCCGTGCTGTGCCACCGGATCGTTTCACCTACTCCCAGGACCACGTGCGAGCACAGGCCCGGAGGACCAAGCGTGGTCGCGGCGCGGGGCAGGGCCAGTAGAGCAGTCTTCTCTTTTTTTATTTGCTTCACTTTCCAGTACTGTATACTTGTGTAATGACTACGTTGTTGTTATATGTGCACGATACCTTTCGGCGCATGCACGACTACTTTCTGCCGCACCGATGCAGCCTCCTTTATTCGCGTGCGATACGAGTATTTGCCCGCCATTTGGCGCATACGACCAATGTAACTTTCGGCGCCGATCAGGCTGTAACTTTCGGCGCCAATCAGGCGTACCCACCATACCCCACCATGTTCACATGTCAGGGGTATCACTCGATTTTTTGCGCCTATATAAGTCGCCTTAACGAGTGAGGCCTCACAATCTTTCAGAACTCAGTCACATTCAGTACTCTCTTCCCCACTTGCTTCATTACAAATCCTACCGGCTTTTGTCAATGGCTAGACGTCGGGGTGTTGAGGATCCAAACTGGCGTAGCGATCCTTGTGTATACCTACTACCACCTTGGTGCCAGCGTCCTCTCTGCCTATGCGGTGATCGATGCCAACTAATGGCTTCGAGGAATCCTGATATTCGAGGAAGGCGCTTTTTTAGGTGCCCTAACTATGACCGTGAGGTATTTTATTATCTGCATATGCTTATTCATTCCGTATGGGCAATCGCTTTATTCTTCGTAACACTACTCTATTCGGCAGACCCGCACTACGGCTTGCGCATACATCGAGTGGGTCGATACAGAAAATCCCATTCTCGACCTAACCACTTGTTTACAAGAAGGTCGCTGGTATTTCGCATCCGAAAATACTGAGCAATACTTACAGAGAAAAGCGGCTTATGAACGACAATGTCGTGAACAACAGAGCGACTGGCGGGTGCTAACTACGGCACTCCCTCCATGGGAAGCCCGTCCAAGATGCAGGTGTGGTGATCGTTGTCAGGTTCTTCGTTCCATAAATCCTACAACATTGGGTCGAAGGTTCTTTGTTTGTCTAAATATTCTTGACGACGATTTCATGGTAAGAATATTTTGATTACATGAATCCTTATTTTCTCACAACATTTACTAACTTTGCTTGCTTTACATCTATTCTTTCCTCCCAGGAACCACCAAGGAGATGTCAATACAGAGAATGGATAGACACCAGAAGGGTTCTAACTCCACCTAGCCGTGTTGTGCAGCTTGAATTACTAGAGCAATATAGGGTTACTAAAGCGCGGTTTGAGAGAGGAGAGGGATCCTCACGTAGGGGTTAGCTATTATCGGACAACTTGGCATATTGAAATTTCTACTGTCATGCTTCCTTGTCCCATTACTACATCGTCGTTGTGTTCAACTATTGCACTACCTCCCTCCTAGTTCGAATCTAATATCATCTATTTAACCACAATGTAAATAGTTGTATCATGTTCAAATTGTACTACTATTTCTTCATGTTACATAATTCTCCTTGTTTAAGTCCATATAATGTTTCTACGACCCAGACTGCGATAGGCCTATATAAATTATCCGAGTACTAATACGTCGAATAAGGTACAAAATAATACCTCACTTAACATATGAAATTGCGCAACAACCAACTTCAATACATTTTTATAACAATATTAACAAGTTTTACCAATAAATACTTCTTTATTTATTATTAACATAACATAGAAAAATCTTTTGGCCGTACTTTTTACATCTGGGTCCCTATTGGGGCGGCAAGGGATCCAGATGCAAAAAGTACGGCCGCAAGCTCTTTATGGGCGGCCAAAATTGCGATTAGGCCCTTGCCGCCCTCTGTATGGGCGGCAAGGGCCTAATCGCAATTTTGGCCGACGGCGGCAGACGGCGCGATCGACCCACCGTCTGCCACGTCAGCTTGTCGCCCACCATTGGGGCGGCAGGGTCTATTTTAGCAATTTTTTTTTGTTGATAGATTATTTCTGTAAATATTAAAAAAAATCTAAAAACGAAAAAAACTCCCAAAACCAATTCCTGTGATTTCCGTATGGCCCACGATCTAGATGGGCCCAGAATTAGTACTGGGCCGGGCTTACCATTCCAGGCCCAAATCAAGCCCAATAAATTTCCCCTTTGCAGCTTCCCTCTTCTCTCCATTTTCGAATTCTCTCCGCGAAAACTCAATTCCCCCACCCATCGATCGAGCTCGCCGTCTCCGATGGCGGCGGAGGCGGAGGCGGAGCCGCGGCGGTGGGCGGCGACGTACACGAAGCACGTGAAGCAGAAGCGCAAGGCGTACCAGGACGGCGCCATCGTCCTCCACCGCGCCTCCGTCAACCTCGTCCTCCTCGACGACGCGGGCGGCACCGTCGAGTGCAGGACGCTCCGCACCGGCGAGGAGGTGTTCCCCGGCGCCTCGCTCGCGTTCCAGCGCCACCTCGTCGACGTCGGCGAGCCCGAGCCCCACCCCGGGTCGGGGTCCTCCTCCGCCGCCGCATCCCCCGCTTCCCGAGGCGTCCACCGCGGCGGCGCAAGCGCCAGGGCGCGTCCCAGCGCGGTGAACTCGCGGCCTCCCCGTGCGTTCGCGGACCCTAACACGAAGGGGGGTGGCGGTGGCGGTGGCAAGGATGAAGCCGTGGGTTCGAGTTTCCAAGGTTTGCGAGCCGCCTGCTCTGCGTATGCTCACAAGGTGTTTGATCGCTGAACAGAATGGGCGTAATCTGATGAATGAATCGGGTGTGCTTTTGATTGCAGAGTGGACCGCACTGTACACCACCCAGCTGACTCAGAAGGCGAAGAAGTTCCATGATGGTGTCGTCAGGCTCGCGCAGGTCAGTTCGCACGCGAAGCAGGTAAGCAGAATGCGCATTTCGTAGTTGGTAATTTGGTATACGGCATATTCTGATTGTTGGGTAGCTAATGGATGATAGATTGGTGGTAGGTTACTTGATCCTCATGAGACCAGTTTATCTTAGAATGCTGTGGTAGTGGACTGGGGAAAAATGATGTGATATGTTGTTTTGGATTACTCGTCCAGATAATTTTGCTGGATGAAGAGGGCGGAGTGCTAGCCACCAGGTACCTCAAGTCAGGGGAATCTTTGGAAACTGGGAAGAAATGTCATTTCCCTAACTATCTTATTGAGATTTGTGAGGCGAAGAGTGTAAACAAAGGTTGGTTTTGTGCATTTTCCAATATATTGACGATTTCTGTATCTAATCTTTGGACCTGTGCGTTGTGAGACGTCAACATTTTTGCTGTGCCTAATTGGAGTTCCTTTTTTCCTTTGCCCACATATTGAAAGGTTGTTATTTCTGCATTGCCAATACGCAGGTTTACAAACTAATTCCTCGGAGGAACCTATGGTGCAAACAAGACCAAGGAGTGGGGAGAATACAAGTAACAAAACAGGATCAGGTCCAACGAGTAAACCACTCAAATTTACCAGTCCACAGAAATTTCATGGTACATGGGTATAATGTTTTTTTTTAAGATTGATTTAATGAATTAATGTTAAACATCAGTTAGCTATGATTGTCCTTGTCCAACATATCACAGTGCGAAATGTTTGTCTCTACAAGTATAGATCTTGAGGACAGTAAATCATCAAATACTGCTGGTTCAAGTAAGCCAGAAACTTCAAAGATTGGAGTTGTGGATGCTGGTAGCTCAGGAAGCATTATGGGTTCAACAGACTCTGAATTTAAAGGTTCATGTGTTCTCTCTGTATATGTCAGATATTTGCGATATGTACAAATTGTAAATTATTGATATATTTCAAAGCTAATAGTGAATGTACATTCTTTGTAGAATGGAGTGCCTTATATACCACCCAACTAACACAGAAGGCAAAGAAGTACCATGATGGTGTGATAAAGCTTGTGCAAGTTGGTTCGCATGCAAAGCAGGTTAGCAATTAGCATTCAATCCGTTAGTTTCATGCTTATTAATATCAACACTGAGAAGTTTCTAGTGCAAGGTTTGGCAATATATGATTGCTGTTTTCGATGTCACTGCTAGATGCTATGTAATGAAATGCTGTGATATTTTGCTAGTTGTAGAATGGTGTTATAGTTTTTTAATAATTGGATGTTCAGATTGTTCTGCTGGATGAAGATGGTGGAGTGCTTGGCAGCAGATATCTCAAGTCAGGTGAATCTGTTGAAAGCGGGATGAAATACCAGTTGCCTAATTATCTTATCGAAGTTTGTGAGATAAGAAAACAAAAGAATGGTTAGTTTTCATTTGTGTCCACTCTGTAGCTTACGATACTCTGAAAATATTCAAATGTAGTTTTTAAACATATATTCCTTTTTTTTCTATATCACATCTTATTTTACTGCATTAATTGGTGTGCAGATGTAGAGTCTAAACACCCTTCAGAGGTGGTTTTGAGTCAAACTGGATCAGCGAATGGACATAATACAACTGACAGGACAGATGGGAGAAACAAATCTCCAAAATTTGTCAGTCCACTGAAGTTCAATCGTATGTGATCACAGAGTTCCACACATTAGTACTTTGCTGCTTATGACATACTTTAATGTAATAATTCATTTGTCTCTACAAATTTTCAGATTTTCAAAAGAGTAGATTACAAGGTAGTAATGGTTTCAACAGGCCAACGGTTGCCAAATCAATACATACTAACATGATTGATACACTAAAATTTCATGGTAATTGAACATGATATCATAAACACTTAGTTCTATGTCCTACTACTCCCTATGTATCTTTAGGTAGTAAGGCTGCTGTTTGCCTGTTTGCAGATACTCAGAAGGCTAAACCAGATTTTACTGTTGGCTACAAGACAGACCTTGGCAAATCAACATTTAGTAACTTGGATGATCCACATCAATTTAATGGTAATTGGGTTTAACTTTATGCACAATATCTGTCTTCCAGTAGTTATATTTTTATATAGTTAAAGTGCTGGTTCTTTCCCCAGTTTTTGCAGATAATAAGCAAGATAAAACAGAATATGCTGCAAGCTATAATCCACAAGAAGTTGGCAAATCAAGTTATGATAGAGTGGACAGTCCTCTAGGATTCTGTGGTAAACAGACTTGATGTAGCATACTTGCACCTATTTTTTACCCTCCTGCTGTTGACATACTCTAATCCAGAAATGCCCATGTTTTATTTATTTTCTGCAGATCTTCAGGATGGTAAATCAGGATCTTCCACTAGTTTTTTGAGGAGAGAGGCTGGCAGAACAACTTTTGGTAACACGGATGATTCTTTGAGAACTGGTATGTATACTTTACCTACTTTCTAGTTTGAATAGGTTTGACCACGCAACAGAAAAATTATGTTGCATGTTTCCTTCATGTATGTCAACTACACGAACAGTAGATAAGTAATCTATGCACCCACCTGGCTACTATTATCCCTATACCCAAGCACCGAAAGTAAGACAATCCAATCAGCCATTGTTTTAACAAATTTGTAATGCTTTTATTTATTGTATTAAATAGATAATTGGTTTGATATATGTGCACTTCAGAAAATAAAATACAAGACAAGTCTGCTCAAGTGAAACTTTTACTGGCACATTCTATCAGTGTTCTCTCTTCTGTTGTGCAATGCTAAGGTTGTTGTGACCAATATTGGCTTTGTTCATTAAGACTAGTTTCAGTTAAGGTTGATTATTTCAGAAACTCCATGATATGGATTTCAAAATAGCTTTCTGGTAGGTGCCTTTTAGCAGCGTACTTTCAGGACATTCTTTATGGTCAGATTAGATATGTCTCTGTTGCATGCATCTTGCAGTAATTATTTCATAGTTGTATTACTGATAAGGAAAATGGTCGTCCCTTATTCCTGCGAATGTGTAGCTTAATTATTCAGGTTTATTTACTGGTAAGTAGCTATTTAAATATGTGATTTTACATATTACAAGGGATATTTGAGGTATTCTTTATGACTTCATCAAATTTAAATAAAAGCTGAAACAGTTCTGTATGCTTCTATAGTGGTCGTTCTGCTTTACCCTTTCTTGTTTATCATCAAATATTTCTCTTTGGCAATCTGAAGAGCATAAAATAAAAATAAAATGCAAAGAGTTCCTGCATTGTGCTCATACAATAACAATTCACGCAGTAGAGTACTTTCAAGAAATTCATTCATTTTTACAAGTGTATGTTAGTGATCCTTTGTGGATTGCATGGCTAACTTGAATGACTTACGCTACTTACTTATTGATCATGTGCTTCATATTAATAACACTGCTATGCTTTTTTAGCATCCCAAATACTGTCTATCATGAGGCCCCCATCGGAAATTAAATACTCCCAAAGTGTTCCAGCTTCACAAGTACACTCCTCAGCATCCTTTGGATCAAATATAGCTCGTGATGCGGATCATAGCAAGACAGCTTCTAACATTTCAGTGATCAACAGTTCAAACAGAACTATTGGTGTTAATATGAACTCTCGAATGTCTCATTGTGCTACACAACTTCGTGCATCAGTGCTGGCTTGTTTAAATTTAGAAACTCTGCAGCCAAGGAACTCAATATGCACTACTCTTCAGAGTGAGTTATCAGGGAGTGCCCATCCAACTTATGATCATCAGACAGTCATGTAAGATTTTGTGTGCATATCTTCAGTTATATCCTAGAAGATTGCCTTCTGGACAATAAAGTAGTAATATCTAACATGACAAGTCGAATAAGAAAATGGGTTTACTCGAATTATGCTTTATAGGAGACCAACAACTTTTGATAGTCTGGAATTGGACATGGTGGATACCCCAACATCTGATGTATCCAATGCAAAAGAGCAGAGTCAAGGTTCAACAAGGAACCATCAAACTGAAAGTTCTAAAGGTACTGGAAGCTGTTTCAATTAATTTCCTTTTTGTGGAGTTAGAGCAAAATTGTGCTTTACTTTTAGGGTTTTTTGCCATCCAAGAGTAAACGTACATATATTGGTCTATACATGGCAGATTCTGCACCAGCTATGTGTACTACTAGCTCAGACCCTCCATCGGGTAAAGGTGAAACTGCAGACCAGGTTTGCATCCTATATAACCTTTCTTGGAAAAAGACTGCCGTTTGTGAATTTAAGGTAGTTTCAGATTCATGAGAGCAATCAAATTACTTGGTTTTTATAACTGTCCACAGCTGCATATTGTTTTGCATCATAAGATCATGCTGTGAGTACTAGCACCTACTGTTTGATTATACTATGCTAATCAATGACTAGTTGACTACATATGCATTTGCAGCTCAGTTCAGATTACAGAGTGGTGGAAGAAAAATGTGGCAGTTACCCCTTTTTATCTGCAGGCGACCTGACGTTAACAGATGATGATTGCCCTTCGTTTGATCTTGGCTTCTAGCGGAAGGTACAACTCTATTTTATATCCCATGGTAGCATTGGATAACAATAACTTAACCTAGGTTGTTAACCACATAACATCATCTATCGCTTTGAAGAATGTATTTATTTATGCAATATAAATTCACAGCATCACATCGGAAATACCTGCTGCCTTTTTCCCCAACTTATAAAGCTATAACTATAAGTCTATAAGCTGGGTCATTGCTGCTTATGGTGGGGAAAGAGGGGCATGTCCTAGTCGTGGACCAACCACTGCCGGAGTTATATGTGGTTTAGTCAAACCATTGGCCAGTTTGCCTGAATCTAAACATTGGCCAGTTTGCCTGAACCTCGAATAGGAAGCAACCGCGCACACAGCTCAAGACAACGATTATTTTGTCAAGTTCACTAAAGATCAACGTGCAGAAGTTTCAAAAAGAAAAATGAAAGCAATTATATGCAGAGAAATCATTGATTCCTGTGGGTCACTGGGTTTTCCTTTGCTTGCAAACATTAACATTACTTAAGATTGCATCTTAATAAGTTTGCTTTGCTTTGCTTTGCATCCAGGGTTTCGTTGAGGGATTCCTTGGCCTTCTTAAACTCAATCTGTTCACTGCTTAAGGAGAATGGATGGCGTGAAGGCGCACTCTGCGTTGTAAGTTGCAACAAAACAATGGGCAGGTAAAAAAAGACTAATTCTTGATTAGTGGACAGGATCTGGTTCAGCTTAAGGTAGCAGTTTTGGGAGTAAAGTAGTAGTTAAGACGAGTTAGGCAGATAAAGATTACACCGTACAGTTTATCTTTCCTTTACCTTTTCTTTTTCTTTTTCTCCTTTTTTTTTTAAAAAAAAGATATCGTTTGCCTTTGTTTGGCACGGTAACGTGTAAAAGGTGGTTGCTGTAGTAGTGTAGTGTAAAGAGAACATCGAGAATTAGATTCTTGTGTGGGATAAACTACAAACAAAGCATGTTCCATGCTCTTTTTTATGATTTATTGAAGCCTGAAGGACCAGGATGTACGCTGAAAATCTTCACTTCACCAACAACTGGAACTGGGAGTAGAATTGTAAGTTCGTGCATCATGGCAGCATCCGGATTGCTGAAAAAGTTGGGCACTTCACCGACGTAGCTGTCTAACCCATGTGGCCATATTGGATTGGACAGCTGAAAGAGATGTGGGGTCGTTCCGTTGATAGAAATAATCGAGAAAGTTCGAATGAATTTACTATGTGCTCTATAAAAGAATTTACAAGAGATGAAGAGAAAAATGGTCTAGGTTAGTTCTTGTGAAAATCTACATAGGAGTGTGATACTAATTTGATCCTCAAGTTTTCTACAGGTTCACATCTATCTTTGGCGTTTCGTTTTGTCCAATTGGTCAATTGGGCTCGCTCTCAAGTTTGCATTCAATTCAAAATGTAGCACTTGGCAACATCCAAAGGTGCTACTTGGCCAGCCAGCCAGCCAACTTCCCAAATGCTTAATCATGGTATAGAAAAGGTCTGTTATGCGCTCACCTCTCATGCATAAGCCCAAACCACACACAATAAAGAAAAAAAGAGGAACGCCACGTAAACGTAAACATGAGGCATCGTAGATTTTTATGACTTTTAATACCGTGAAGAAATTATTACTATATATTTTTAATTTTTATGAGTTACTCCCTCTATGTCTCAACCACTTTTTTTCTCTGTCTCATGATATAATGCGTGCATGCATGTATACATTAACTAGCACCTCGTACTCTAAATTTGCTCCTCGTACTCCAAATTTGCTCTGTTTTAAATCCTCTAACATCAACCCCCCTCACATTACTTGCATGCATCAATGTGATCTAACCGAGGAAGTGATTAAATTATTTTTTTGGTCTTTGTGTTAGTGATAGTTGTGCTTCATATTTTGGAATATAGTACTTTCCTAGTAGTGTAGTTGCCTCTTATATCATTGAGAGTTATTCTATTTTTTATAGTTATTTCCCTATAACAATATCGTTCCTTTTAATATCGTGAAAAGTTACTTCTTATATCAAGAAAAATAATATAGTGATTACTTCAAATAAGAAAATCCATGTATATAATTATGAATATTCTCTACATTTTACTTATGAATTTACTTCATATAGTTTCTTATTTCCAACTTATCCCTATGTAATTACTTTAGCATTATTTTATGAAAAGTTACTTCTCAACTGAGTTACTTTTATAATGTGAGCAAATTACTATTAAATATTTAAAAATAATTAATATTAAAGTCGTTTTATCATACCTTTTAAGTAGAGTAAGATGGTTTAAATGGAATTTATAAATAATACATGGTTTGAAATATATAAACCATCAAAGGTTTGTATTAAGAAAAAATAGATTAGTGATGTTGGTTCTATGTATCAAACCTTTAATTTAACTAGTACAACCCAATTAGCCAGTGACATATCTGGTCAACCCACTAACAGATTATACTAACATTTTTGGATTGGAAGGAGGGCACTAGGGTTGTGCCGTAAGTTTAAATAGTGCACGCGAACTAATTAAATTTCACTATAAATTTGCAATATCTCATAAAATTACTTAATGTAAAATTAGTGTCCCGATTTTAAAATTATGACTTATCACTAACAGACTTATGATGTATTGGCAATGCATATTACAATTTGTTTTGGGCTTATTTGATATCCACCTCTTTTAATGCTGGAACCCAATTAAACTGTTGTAACTCAACTTAAAAAAAAATGGAATGGGTTAAAATGATTTAAAATATAACTAAAGAGATGGATCGAGATTCAAGCCGCTTCATAACTTTATTCTAAAGTTCACTCTCAAAGTTAAATTGAGAAATTTGAATAACCTTATATAGACTCAAACCGTACTCCCCCGCAAAAAAAAAAAAAAAAAAAACTCAAACCGTACTCTTTTGGTTCTTACTGTACTCTTTAAAAAAAAGTTGACTAGTCACTCAGCACTTCATCACAGCATACAGTACTCCCTTTCTTTTTCCTATGAACCATTTGCTTTTCTTCTTAGTTCTTACTTCCATTGCTTTAGGCGGCAGAGAGAGAGGGGTTCGAGAAATAAATTCCAGTGGCTCCCTGCTTTGCCACAACACTCATCAGTGGGGGTTGAGGTGGCTGCATCAGCAAGGAAACACCTGTCCCCACCTCACCAGCGGGAGAGAAGCCCACGTCACTCCCATAAATGGATGTGGATATCTCAGATTCTCATCACCCAAATTGATCCAGGAAGCCACGGGACGGCACGGATCTTTGCCCCCTTTCCTGGACAACCTCTCCCCCTAAAAAACCAACAAAAAAAATGAAAAATGAGTGAGAAAATGAGATGACACGGCGAGGAGAAGAACAAAAATAAAAAATCTGGGAGTTGGGAGAGGAAGAACCGGACCAAAAATCCAATCTTTGTGGGAGAAAAAATGGCGCTTTCAGGGGCGGTGAGCAGCGCAGAAACGGCAGCTTAATTGGTCTTTCTTGCCAATTTATAAAAAGTTTTGATTTTGGGAGTAATTGAAATCTTTATTACTACTATTATTATTGCTGGATGGATTGTTTCTTCTGGTAGGATTGCTGCTTGCTTTGCCTTCACGTCATTATCCGGAGAGGAGCAAAGATCCCTTCTTTATTAGCTCCTCTCCCTTGGCTTCCTCTCTTCTCCGTGTTCTTCTTGTCCGCTTTAGGGGTTCGCTTTTCTAGATTCAGTCTGTCAGCGGCGACGGCGAGGGAGCTGCGAGATCCGGCCGTGAGATGGTGGTGATCCGAAGGAGTCATCGTCATCGTCGTCGGGTTGGAGCCTCTTCGTCCAAGAACCTGCCTTGATCTTGCAGCCTTGTTCAAGCTTCCGAGTCTTTTGCTGATCCAGGTGAGGTGGCTTTTGCCTTCACCTGTAAAATTTTAGAGAATCGGATCATCGGGAGGAGGGAGCGAGGAGAATCGGAGATTCGGAATCTTTCGATTTTGTCTGACTTGCTCGAGCATCTCGGGTTCAGTTTTCATTTTGCGTGCCCATTTGGTCCAGTCAAGTACTTTGAAATGTTCCTAGTTCGAAGAATTCGACCTGTTTCTGTATTTCTGCATCTGTGATTCGTCCCTTACCTCAAATCAGTGAAATCTGTCGGAGAATTGGATAATCGTTTACCGCCTCAAATCTGGCTGTAATTAGTAGTGATTGTTTTCTTTGCCATGGGCATTTCATTTCATTTCATTTATTTCGACGTTGCTTGCATATCTGAGCATCATGTCTTCTCGTTATTGTGCTTGTCCGTATTCATTTTATGGTTGTAGATTCTTTTTGAGCAAACAGTTCATGAATCTTGATGGATCGGTCTTCAAATTTTCTAGCGTGGATGATGCATGCACTTTCTGTCATGAAAACATTGTAAAATAGGCTGTTAATACTATCATTTGTTTTCTTTAGAGCTTCTATGGAAGTAGTGCTGATGAACAACTTTTTCTGAGGACATTGACAAACAATTTTTCTGATGTGCAGGGTGCAGTTTCTTAGCATGTGAGTAATGGCAGCTGCTGAAACAAGGGCTGCTTGGCAGCGTGCTGCTAACCGCTGCCGGGTTCAAGAGGACGCAAAGAGAGCTCCGAAACTCGGTTGCTGCCCGCCATCTGGGCAACAGCATGAGACCAACAATGGAAATCAAACAAATCCGCAAGACTGCCATATCCCCAACTTTATGCCTTTAAACTGGAATGCAATGAACTCCAATCTGCCAAAAGATACCCAATGGTGGCTTCAGTTGCAGCCCAATTTTGGGTGCCAGAATGTGCTTGCTAGCGAGGACCTGAATTATATGTGTGGGGAAGTTGATGTAAAGAAAGTCGAAAGTTTCGCACCAGTGTCCAAACTTGAGGACATCAATCCTAAGAAAACAGCTGATCCTTTTGAGCCCCCATGGATAGTTTCAACAGCTTTTATGAAACAAACATATGAGACAGGTTTTGAAGAGCTCAAGAGTCTTCCTGCCTATTCTGAAATGACCCTCAAATGCAGGGGAAGTGCCACCTATCTTCATGAGGACAAAGAACATATGGACTTCAAAACTTTTGATCCTTTGTATCCAAAGAAACCACAGACGGCATGCTATGAGATGGATGCACCTTGGCAAGAAAACAGGAAGTCTCGGCCATGGTGGCAGGTAGCTGAAGCGGATGGTTTGGCTTCCGTAGTTGCAGAAAGTGAAATGCACAACGTAGGCAAAAATGAGCTGCCAAGACCCACCCAACGTGCTCATGGTTCAAAATTGAACAACCATGAAAACAAGGATGATTATGGACCTTATACTGGCAAAGAATCACCTCCAGTGCAGTATGACACTATGCTGTGCAGCTATAGCATTTCAAGCACCAATGAGACAAATTCATCTGATGGTGGAGGCTGGCAACATCAAAGAAATGATGCACGTGGGTATGTTATATTCTTTCACAATCGCTGGAATTCACTATGATTTGCCGGTGTCTTCCTTCTTGGATTCACGCCGTCTTAAATTCTTAATGATACTAGTTATTTTAAGAAAGTGGTATGTGGCTTTTTGTTTGGTCCCAAACCTAGGGAAATCCGGTCTAACTGGCCAATTTAGAGGGCCAAACAGGTGATTACGTGATAACAAGTAGGTGTGCTTGTTCCTTGTGAACAGCCCAGTAGACCCACTTTTAGAATACCGATGTTTTGCTTTACAAGGATAAATCTTATGGCTTATTATTTTCACGTATCACATTACGAACTAGTTCTGAAAATGAACAAACACAAATGTTATTCCAATTTTGTATGTGTGAAACTAGTTCTGAAAATGAGCAAACACAAATTTTATTCCGATTTTGTATGTATGAAATTGTGTGAATCTTTTGATTCCTTGTTATGATCCAAAATTGAAGTAATGGTAGTCATGCATGCCTTCCATGTCGTGTTATTTCTCATCCCTGGAAAGTCCCAGATACCAATTTGTTTGTCCAAGCTTCTTCCTGGTTATGGTCCATATATTGACATAATCGCATTCGGATGCAGGGGTACACAGGATTCTTGTAGTTCTGATGATCGCACACCAGGCAGCAAGCCGACATATCGGAGTGCCGCTGAGAGGACCCAGTTGCTGGATGCACTCCGCCATTCACAAACACGCGCGAGGGAGGCTGAGATGGCTGCCAAGAAAGCTTATGATGAGAAAGACCATGTCATCAAGCTATTATTCCGTCAGGCCTCTCATCTCTTTGCGTGCAAGCAATGGCTGAAAATGCTGCAGCTGGAGAACATATGCCTCCAGCTCAGGTTGAAGGAACACCAGATAGCAGCCATGTTCCCTGAACTCCCCTGGATCATGCTCAAAGAAAAGGTGACGCCAGGGCAAGAAAGGAAGGATGGAACAAGGAAGAAAGGAAGGAAGCAGAACAAGGACAGCCACTTGCGCAAGGCTGTCGTGTTTGCGGTCGGTGTAGGCATCGTTGGTGCTGGACTGCTTCTCGGCTGGACTCTCGGGTGGCTCTTGCCCAGGTTGTAAGTTCCATTATCATCTACCACCATGGCTAGATTAACGCCTAGCGCGCACTTCGATCGAATAGGTGATAGATAAAGCTTCAGGTATGTGCTTCATGATGTTAGAAGAATGAAGATCATATTCTTGGAGCTCATTCATATCTGTTCTGTTGTTGGTTTGGAAGCCTTGCTGATGATATTTTCATATCTTCATGTACATATAGGATGAATTTGCTGTATATATTTTCAGAAACTGGGTGCTTCTGTATGTTGCATGCGTTTGCCCGAATGTTGTACATATATGGGGTCAGTGGTGGTGGAACTAGGGAAAAAAATCCGTCGACATCAACAATGTATTAAGTATAAAACTTGTATTTTCAGTTGCTGGAGTAGCCAGCTCTTGTTTGTATAATAAAAACTTGTATTTTTAGTTGCTGGTTTAGACAGCTCTTGTTTGTATTATAAAGGCCTAGGCACGCTTGTGACACTATGAATTTCCATTTGCCAAATTGGTCTTTTTTCTTGTCAAATCTTGGTCAGCTTTCCAAGTGCTGTAATCAGCAAGAATGTGATCTGTTATCCTTTGGGATAGAAGTCAATATGCCCAGCTGTCAGCTCGTGCATTTGCTACTGAATTTTGCAGTCCAGATATCTCAGACATAAGATAAACTCATTCTTGGTAACTCCTAAAAGAATTTGTTATTACAGGCTTACAGCTTCGAAGGTGCTATCAATTATGCATCAAAACTTCTAAAGGTTACTGTGATTTTTGGCATAGCTTCCGATCTAAGATGTTTTAGAGCTAGCATAACTTTGGATCTAAGGTTTTTTTTTTTTTTGGAGTTGGATATTTCCACCTCCACAAATCCATAGATTTTTCAATCGGCAATTACATTGATTACTTCTGAATGAAATATTTATTCCATTTTTGGATGAAATATAATTTTTAAGTGATTATAATTTACTCCCTCCGTCTCCTAATATAAGGGATTTAGACATTTTGCTTGCATTGTTTGACCATTCGTTTTATTAAAAAAAAAATTGGAATTATTATTTATTTTATTTGACTTACATTATTATCCAAAGTACTTTAAGCACAACTTTTCGTTTTTTATATTTGCACAAATTTTTTGAATAAGACGAGTGGTCAAACGTTAAAAAAAAAATAGTGAATATCCCTTATATTAGGGGACGGAGGTAGTAACATATAAATTTTAAATCTAGATATGGAGCTGTGATAAATATTGCCTAATAAAGAGAAACAAGTGCCACGTGATGCCAAAGGAAAGCTGATGTACTCCTTTTGTCCCATAAAAAGACAAACCTGAGTTTGGATAGGCTATCTAAGAATAATCTGAAGAATATTAAAATGTGTCACATCTCATCTTAAAATCCTATCCTGAGTTTGTATTTTATGGGATGGAGGGAGAAAGTCAGCAAAGAGAGCAGTGTTGCAGCAACCAGCAGGTAATCCGTACAAGGGAATTCATTAGGGAAATTGTAACAGCAATAAACTTAAGGGATCTAGAGTCATCTCTATCGGAGCAGCAACGGCACAACTGTGAATTACATAAGTTAGCACAGAGATGAACTAGTGTTACAGCTGAACAGCTCCCAAGTGTATGATTACTAGTAGTAGTACTTAATTAGATCTTGGCAGTGTTTTTCCAGTTCTTTACACTATTAAGAGTGCTTAGCTAATTGTTCCAATAGATCTTACTTATCCAGGCTCCGGCAGCCAAAAGTGCACAAATGACTCCCAAATTGTGATATTACATCCACAAGGCCTCCATATCCAGCAACAGCTGCCATCTGCACAACAAAGGTAGTAAACTCAGGACAAATCGGCCAGACTCCAGAAGTAGGGTGAAACAGATACCCAAGTCATTTCAAAATGAGAATCAAGAGACAGACAGACATACCCCTGAAGAATGTATGGAGACAGAAAATGCTGAGTGAGGAGCACACTTGATTTGTGAAAGAAGAGTCCCATTGATAGAGAAACGAGAGAGCAGAGGTTCAGCACCGACTGCTAAGATCTGAATGGTGAAAATGGAGTATAAGAAAACAAACAGTTGATAATTCCTAAACCACAAGAGTTGGGAAACAATGCATCCTTCGTGCTGCTCTATTGTCTATCGCCAGACTCAACATTGCTTTGGTAAATCTCTAATAGATGTGAGCAGACAATAATAAAAAGCTTTCCTTGCAGGAATAATAACTAGTTGGCTGAAGAGTCACTCTTATATTTGTTTGGAAGCAAAAGCTTTTGATTTTATTCTGTTTCTCTCCAACAATAACATCACAAAGCTTCAAATTTTGGCAACCATGTCATAAATCATCAGGAAATAATTTATTGCATTTTCTGTGCATATCTGAGAGATTATCTGATAATAATTTCATATCCACACAATTATGCAAACTTTCATTTGGCAAACAATTATGCATAAAAAAATTTAGAAAGGGCATTGGTTAAATAGATAAATCATGCACTTGTGGAACTATCATATGACTTGTTAATGGAAATAATTGACTAGGGGAACACTAATTTACTACAGGTATAGCATTTGTTAAACTCACAAAGACTAAAGAATGGAATGATCCGTCCTAAATTTTTTGCCAGCCCATCTTTGAAATACAAGATGAGCCATTTCTAACCATGGGCAATTTTACTGGTTTGCTAAACTCTAGCTTGAACATGACGAATAGATAGACTTACTTGGTTTCTGTCAAACAGCAAATCTTGAACAGGAGCATGGCAATCCACATTAAAGATGCACTCATTTGAAAGAAGGCTCCAAACTGATATACCACTAGAAGTACCACAAGCCTGGGAAAAATAGGACCAAGATAATAATAACTGTAAAATACATGATGCATAACACATTGTTATATCAGCTTGAAGTGCATCCTACCAGCCAGCTTTCACTTGCATCAATGGCAACACAACTGACCCATGACCCCTCAAAAATCTTGTTTTTCACCGGACGTATAACCTGAGTGCACTTTCCACTTCTGCAATCTGCAGTGCACAAAGAGCAGAAATAAGAGAATGCCTTTTTATGGATTTCCATGTAGTGCCAAATCTTTCTAAACCTGTCTGAAGGTAAACTCATAAGAGAGAGGATAAATTTTGTGAATATGATGTGACCTGTGACCAGATCACCAGATGTGAATTAAAGAGTACAAAAAGACAAATAGCTAGTTGGTGCTTTTTCTTTGCTTGAATCAACGAGCAGATATACAAAATGACCAGTTAGAACAGGATGAACATGAGAAGGCACACTTCAAGTACAAGACAAAATTATCCTATCAAAAGCACTGCTCACCCCAGATACGGGCTGTGCCATCCTCTGATCCTGTAACTACCTGAAAAAGGAAAGGCTCTATTAACTAAAAGTTACTACAAAATGAAGGCAAGACATCTATGGGAAAATGGTATTGGACTACATCAGTACAATAATAACAAACCAACCTGGCGGTTCGCTTCGCGGACTGCAATGCTGTGCAAATAGTCAGTATGTCCCTTGAAGGTCATTTTACATTTACCACTCTCCTGAAAGAACAAGACATTGTAAAACCTACTATCAGATATTTTCTCAAGCAGGCACACAGAAAATAGAAAATTATGGAAGCCTGTGCCACATGAATCATAAGAAATCTGTAGTTCCTTCCATGTAGCTCAGGACTTCTATATATTGCATTTACCTCAAGAAAATACATACCACATCCCAGCAATAAGCACATGCATCCCCGGCCGCTGCATAAACAGATCCTTCCTGTTGCGAAGAAGAATGATGAGAAAGAATAACTGAATAAGATATCTTTTTTTAAGCAAGTAACAATATGCATCATTTCTATATAATATACACGATGAACAAAAATGCACACAAGAGATTATTTTGCTTCTTTGGATGAAGTGAAAATGCAGACTTTCTGGTGTTGACCTGTTTGTTAATCGCAATGGCGTTGTTTTCAGGTATTGGAGAGCGAGCACCCCAAGGACCCCTACAAAATCGAAAACAAAAGCTCTGAAAAGATGGAGGATGAGAGTGCAAGTGCATATTTCTCTAGAATAAACGATATGTCAAATGATTATCAGATGTATGTCCTTTTTCACAGAATACTTACTCATGCTGAGGGTTCACCAAATCAAGTACTGGCTCCAAATGATCCCCTGGAAAGAAAAGCAATGACAAAGTAACCTATTAAACAACATGCATTAGCCCCACAAAAAAAACATGCACTAGAGCACTAGAAAAGGAAATGGGACTTGCAAAATGTTTTACATCTTTGTTAAAAATTTAGCCTTTTCTTTGTGGGGTGTGCGCAAGCAAGTACAGGTAGAACTTCTAGGTAAAGCACACACCAAACTAATTAACCAAGTCAATCCTAGTAAGAAGTGAGGGTTCTTTTGCAGCACCTTGCAGAGATAGCGGCACAAGGCAGCTCTGCATCTCGTGCCATCTCCATCCCCGAAGGCGCCCGTCATCCCCGCCGCTGCCACAACCAACGGATCACGTCGCCAAATGTCATGCCATGTCACCTGAACAAAAACGGCCACCGAGAAGACGAGCAGCAGCACAGCAATTCACCTGAAGAGCAGCGGCTGCTGCGAATCCGGGTAGAACCTGACGTCGTAGGCCGGGCCACTGTGCGCTTGGACGATGCAGACGGGATCAACCAGAGAGACCGCGGCATCCGGGTGGGTCTGAATCCAATCAAATCAAAACAAAAGATCGAACACCTTAGCTGCGCACGAGGACGCGGCACATGGAGCGGGTGTGGGGAACGAACGAACCTGTGGGGTGGGATGGGAGGAGGAGGAGGAGATGCAGGAGGAGAGGGAGAAGGAGGCGAGGGAGCCGTCGCTGGAGGCGGCGGCGAGGAGGACGTCGGGGTCGTCGTCGTGGTGGTCGAAGAAGACGGCGCGGAAGAGGGTGCGGCAGGAGAGGTCCCGCTCCCGCAGGATGCCCCGCCTGTACGCCGCCTCGTCCCACCCCCGCGCGTCCATCCCCGCCAACGCCGCCGCCGCCATCTCGCCTCGCCGCCGCCGCCGCCGCTGCTTCGGAAGCGAGAGCGAGTCGAGGAGTGGGGGGAAGAGACAGCGGCTGGTTGGGCTGGGCCTTTAGATCAGAAACCAACGGCCAGATCTATTCATTATTAAAAAATATAATATGAAATCCCTATTTGATTTGTTTTTGTACAGTATTGTAATAATTATTTGAGGGTACAGACAAATAAAATAACTGTTATAAAGTTTTAAAAAATAGGTTAAAACAATATTCTAATAAATTTATATTTATTTTTTTTGTGATGAGAAGCCAACGACGAGATCTTATTCATTGATAAAATAATATGAAATATCTATTTGAGTTGTTGCTTCGCGTAATGTTGCGATAATTATTCGAGGGAACAAACAAATTAAATAAATGTTACTCCCTCCGTATTTTAATGTATGACGCCGTTGACTTTTTAACCAACGTTTGACCATTCATCTTATTCAAATTTTTTATACGAATATAAAAATACTTATATCATGCTTAAAGAACATTTGATGATAAATCAAGTCACAATAAAATAAATGATAATTACATAAATTTTTTGAATAAGACGATAGGTCAAACGTTTGTCAAAAATTCAACGGCGTCATACATTAAAATACGGATGGAGTATAAAGTTAAAAAAAAATATTAGAACAGTATTCTAAGAAATTTATACAAAAAGTTTTAAGAAAATCACACCGTTTAGAGTCTTGAGAAAGGATCCTTCGAAATAGTTCCCTCAAATCTTATGGATAGGAAAATAACAGGAATGATCAATTAGATGAAGCGTTTGAAACCACACAAATCAAAAGAGAGGAATTTTTTTCAAGACTCTATACTACTAGGTGTAGCAACACCAACATTTAACTCAAAATTTTATTTTTCAAAGAACATGGGGTTTGAGGTATCATATCGTTCATATCTCGCGTTTCTGTCTTGTTTCACTAAGGAAATGCTGTTATTTTGTGAAGCATGTTGAACCCAAACCACAGGCTTAGCATAAGGTTATAAAATTGTACAGCAATTGACTCTCTCTTTATTTATGCACCTCAAAAGATTTTTGCATGTATGGTAGCAAGTAAAATACCATATCATGCAAAGGACTAAGTTCAACATACACTAAAATCAAACACTGAAGAACAGTAATACTTTCATGTCACACATGATACACACTCTGCTCATATATATATCAGTGGTACAATGAACCATTCAACAGTTACAACTCCATAGTTTGGCAATAATAAGACCAGCCGATGGATATCTCACAACTCATCCATGGATCTATTAATAACTCATGTCAATGTTTTCACATCAAGTGCAGACAGAGGCAACAGAACATCTCAATCTTCACTTGTCAGATCCCTTCTTTGGGTGGAAGGCTTCAACAATAGCTTCAATCTCTTCCTTGGCACGCTCAAACACATTTGGACCTTTAACTCTCTCAACTGGTGTATTCTCATTTATATCATCGCTTGTACCATGAGTTTCATTCTTGTGGGTCTCTATTTTGTTCATTGACACCTTGCTTTCATCCTTTGAGTCCTTATGCAGGTCTACACAATTTTGTAATGGTGTGTATCATAATCATTAGACAGGAAGATAAGGTTAATCAATGCATAAAAGAATCTGACCATCATGCATGAATATCACACACAAAGAGCTGACAAGTCATTGTTGATTTTTTTTTGTGTGCTGCAAATTCTTCGAAGGAATTCAAGCAAAGTATTTGTATTCAAACTATTTTTAGGGCATACATATCTAAACTTTTATGCCTGAAAGGATTTCCAGAAAGTTTCATGATTTAGCTGCATCATGTTTTAAAGTCGGTTGGTGGCATCAAATTTGACAAACAATTACTGAAAAGGATGTTTTTGCAATAAAAGGGAGAAAAATGAAGATGCTAATATTCTTGAACTTGTGTTTGTGTTATCTCAGAAAAATCTTGTTACAGAAAACCAGACTTTTTCAACAAAGAGAAATAAATTCTGATATATGCCCAATGCATGATTAATGACCCATCATATTATACAAGGAACTCAATACACAAGGTAAAAAACATCAAGCTAAAATTTAGCAATTGTCAATTGAGTATGCTGTAGCGCATAATTGCTAGATCAGATTTTGTACTCCCTCCGTTTCACAATGTAAGTCATTCTAGCATTTCCCACATTCATATTGATATTAATGAATCTAGACATATATATCTATCCAGATTCATTAACATCAACATGAATATAGAAAATGCTAGAATGACTTACATTGTAAAACGAAGGAAGTAGGACATAATTACTGAAGAACTACGTGTCGGCCTATTAGGCATTGAAGAGCTTAAGCTTGTGCGTTTATCTTATATGAGCTTTGTGTTTTTTGGTCCTGTTGTTAAGCAGCTAAGGTCGTGACTTAGGTGATGAGGCAAAGGATCGTGCGATACTGTGATGGACTGATGGTAACATTAAGCTTAGATGTGAATTGTCTCTCTGGGTGCTTTGGGCCTAGCCGATGCTCCTCTATCCTATCCTTTTTTCCATCTTTTCTGCCAGATAGTTTAAAATCCTACTCTTCTTTCTGGGGATAATAAAAGGTGCTCAGCATCTTCACAGAAATTAAATTACGGAAAACACCGTTGGTTCAAACAAATTACCAGCATTATTTCCATGGGGACTGGAATTGTGCTCCATCTTATCATGAACAGCTCCAACGAGAGCCTCAACCTCTTCCTTGGCTCGTTCAAACAGATTGGGGGCCTTAACCTTGTCCACAGATGTTTTATGACTTATATCGTTGCTCGTTCTGTGAGTCTCCTTGTCATGAACTTTATCTTTGTTCATCACGCTTTTGATTCACAGTAGAAAGCTGCCTATTCCAAGCTCCACTCTGCACAAAATTCCAACAAGAGCATTCAGGATTTCAGCCCGTGATAAACAACACAAAACCTGATACTTGCCATTCATCCCTACGCAGGATCCGTGCCCGAAAAAAAAAAAGGTAAATAGCAGACCATTTGCCTTAATCCAATCGAGCGAAAATGGTAAATACACCGTTTGACATCATGCCCAAATAAAAAGACTTTAATCATCTTTCCTCACCGTTCTGCTTGCTAAATGTTGCAGCATCCAGCCAAATAATACACTGGGAACGTTGCACAGGGCAACTGTTTTTCGGCTGTCAGTGCTGAACCATCAAATCGGCAATGGCAAGCAAAAGAAAACATAATGTACACTCAATATAATCAGATCACCACAGTATTACTCTTTTTTTTTGTTTTTTTTTTCGGGAGACTGCAGTCTGCAGGTAGTACTCTTGATCGAGAGCTCACTGATCCGGAATCAACAGCTTCCCAAATCGAAGCCCTAACTCCTAATCCTCCCCATCCCCAGATCAGGAGAACCCTACGCGGATCCCTGCCCTGCGCGGCGAGTGCTAAAACGATACGAACTGCTCTCTCTCTCTCTCTCTCGTCAGATCCCAAACCTAACTATGGAAAAAGAACATGTCGCCGGGGTACACAGAAAGATATAGTTGCGCACCTGCGGCTGGCTCCCGCCGGCGGCGCGTCGATCCGGCGATATCCTCACCGGAATTGATGATGAAGGAGAGAGAGGCGCGGCGGATGGATGGATTGGGTAGTTCGTGGAATGGAACCCAGACGATGGAGAAGGGAAAGGGAGGAACGGAATATTCTTGGGCCGGCCCAACACAAAAGCCCAATGTACCCAAAACTAGCTTAAAGAGGCCCATGTGGCCCTCTGACATCTACTAGGCCCATATCGGCTTTGACCCCACCTGTCAATGGGATGGGCGCTGAACGGACGGAAAGGTCGGGGACTTTCTGTGCGGTTACGCGGGGCCCACCTGTCAGCGTCGCCCGTGTCGCTCCGTCTCCAACCCCGCCGCGCGCGACAAGCGAGCGGCCGGTGGCCGAGACGTCGTTTGACCGTCCCCGATTCGCCCGCCGCCGCCGCCGCCGCCCGCCGCCACAGCCCGCCGGCGAACCGTGGCCGTATCTCTCTCTATCCTCTCCGGAGATGGCCGGCGCGGGTGCGGGTGCGGGCGCGATCGCCGCTCTCCTGCGCGCCGCGCACGTGCCGCCGGCGCCGCGCGCGCGCTCGATTCGGGGCCTCGCCGCGGCGCGCGGGCTCCCTCCTCTCGTCCGCGCCACGGCGGCGGCCATCGCGCCGTCATCGTTCTGCCCTTACCTCCCGCGCCTCAGCTCTGGTGCGTTGCCTGGCGTGAATTGCTGCTGCCGTATGACGTACATACAGCTCGCGCCTCAGCTGTTCGACGTAATGCCTAGCTCCTTCTGATGAATTGCTCCCGTTTCTTCCAGCTCGCTCCTTCTCCTCCTCAACATCGTGCAGCGCCGGCGCGTCCCTCGGTGGCGCGGTGTCCACCTCGCCGTCCGAGCAGGAGAAGCAGCGGCAGCAGTCGGAGCTCATCTTCCTCGGCACGGGCACCAGCGAGGGCATCCCGCGTGTCAGCTGCCTCACCAATCCCTCCAAGACCTGCACCGTACGGCCACCCTCTTCATTGCAGCAGCGCGATGTCGTTTCTATGTCATACTTTGTGTTGATTGGTTGCTCAATGTCATTTGCTCACTTTCTTCTTTGTCCTTTCCTGCACGCAGGTCTGTACCAAGGCAGCCGAGCCAGGGAATCGGAACAGGAGGCGCAACACGTCCATCCTCCTGCGCCATGCCACGCCGTCTGGCACGGCGAACATCCTAATTGACGCTGGCAAGTAAGTATGCGCCTTTGGTTGATCTGGGAGTCTGAAAGTTTGCTTCATTTCTCTTCCATTCTGGGTTATCATTCTTGAATTGAAAAAGAGTGAGAGAGAGTAATGAGACACCACTGTGTTTTTCTCTGCTTCCTCTGCTAGGTTCTTCTACCACTCTGCGCTCCAGTGGTTTCCTGCTTATGGGTATTGAACTGCTGACGTGCTCCATATTTGTTTCCGAGAAATTTAGCCTTGTTAAACGCTAGCTTCTGACATTCAGATTGAGGACAATTGATGCTGTGATTATTACTCATTCTCATGCGGATGCAATCGGAGGTTTGCAAATACTTTTATTGAAGCAAGCAACTTTATTAATATTGATTGAGACAACACACCATGCTCGTTTTGCTCTTGAGCTTTCTAAAAGAAATAAGAACTCCTTTGGTACAGGCCTTGATTGTCTTCGCGATTGGACGAACAATGTCCAGCCCACCATCCCGATTTATGTAGCAGAACGTGATTATGAGGTTGGTGCTATGTTTGTAGTTTTGTTTTTGCTTCTCTAGAATTGCAGCCTCAGAAAGTTTCATTCCTAACGTAGACAACTGTCATGCCAATTGAAATGAAACTCACAACTTCTCTTTATGTATGCAAGATTTTAACAACTGGGCCACTGGCTCACTTTTCTTTCTATGCTTGTACTATTTGTTCGCTATCAGGTGATGAAGATGACTCACTACTATTTGATTGACACAAGTGTGGTTATACCTGGAGCTGCAGTTTCAGCATTGCAATTCAACATTATTAAAGAGGAACCATTTACAGTTCATAACCTTGAGGTCTGTTGTCTAAAATAATAATTTATGTAAGCAAGAAGTAGACATAAACCACACGCTATCAGCAATAATTAGCTCTTCAATCCGCAAAGAAATTTCTTTTTCTCAACTCATTTGACTGCACTGTAATAATACTTTATACTCTATGTAGGCAGGTAATAAAAGGATACATTTACTTCTATATCCTTATTTTTGTTTACTATCATAACTTAATTAACTGACCATGTCTATACTTTGAGTTATTTGAATTCCAATGTTGTTCTGAGTTAAATGTTAGTAAATCCGTCATGAACCTATTAGTTACATCCTATGTTCTCAAAATATGTTGTTTTGGTCATGATCTCCGGTAGACACCTGTGACCATCGATTTGTTGGCCAAAAGTATGTAAACTATAAGGTAAGTAATTTTGAATGTGCCTTTTTAAATTGCATGTCCAAACGAAATTAATATGTTTTTAATTATGTCAGTTTGCGCTAAGTGTACTTTCGAGTGTACCCTGTCTAATTTATTTTGCTGAAGATATGATTTCTGTATTTTTCAGGTCATTCCTTTGCCTGTCTGGCATGGTCAGGGTTACCGCTCTCTTGGTTTTCGTTTTGGTCGTGTATGCTACATAAGGTAGATCAAAGTGCAAAGCTAATTTTTTACAATATATTCTGTTGGTTCAAGTTCAACACACATGGTCTTAATATCTCTGATGTACACAGTGATGTCAGTGATATACCTAAAGAAACCTACAAACTTCTGGAAGACTGTGAACTTCTAATAATGGTATTGACGTTATAACTTTTTCTATATATATATGTGAATTGTTAAAGCATGAGATTATGGGATTCTCTTGAAGCTGCATATTTTCTTATGTTACTTAGTGTTTTTATTAACTTTTTGTATAACTGGATTTAAGCTTGATTTTATTATAATTATGTCCAGGATGCTCTTAGACCCGATCGTTCTTCTTCAACACACTTTGGATTACCACGGGTGGGTAGTTAGTTCTAATATATCAATCAGCTCTAGCTTCTTATTGCTTCACTGTATTCCATGGTGATATATTCTTCACTTCTGCAGGCCCTTGAGGAAGTTAGGAAAATCAAACCAAAGAAAACACTGTTTACTGGTAATCATTTTGAGGCTCGTTTAATGCCTTTACTGAATTAACGCTGCTAGACTTCTTCAGTTTAAACTCTATGTGCACTTTAACTTTTCATGTTAATTTATAAAAACATTAATCACTCTGGAACAGAATGCACAGTTTACTATGAGAAAAGGTACATTGTTCTATTGCATGTTTGAGAAAGCTTATCTGCCTTTCTATTGATTGGCAGAATTTAATCTCAGAAAGGAAAAAAGGGGCAATATACTAAAAAAATGATCTCCTTAGTTAACTGTTCAATAATTTGGTACTTCATGTGCACAATAAGCATGATGAGGGTGTCCTACAATCACTCACGCCGAGCTTGCTGTTTGTTTTCCAATGGTGTGTTTGATATTTTCTCCTATTGCTTGTCACATAAAAGAAGAAAATATCTGTATAGTAACTTAGATCTAAATATTCATGTTGGTCACTTTTCAGAACCTTTCAATGTCAGAAGTTAACTATTACTATTCATGTTACTCCAGTTTATTCAGAACTAAAGCATCAAAGTTCGGCTACTTATTTCTTGTTTATGGACATGATAAGAAAAGGTCGTTTAATTTGATCGAATTTCACATGATGTAGCTTTTATTGTTTACATGATGTTGCTCTTGATGACTTGACTGAATGATATCTTCAGGAATGATGCATTTAATGGATCACGAGAAAGTAAACAATGAACTTGCCAAGTTGATGGAGACAGAGGGGCTTGACATCCAGCTGAGCTATGATGGTCTCAGGGTACCTGTATGGCTCTAATACTATTAATTCTTTTAAACACACACGACATTTTTTTGTCTTCTAGGCACAGCTAGGATATGTTTACAGATTTTCTAAGGTTTCAGTTAGTAAAATTATTATTACAAGATGTAATCTGTTGAACTCCTTGCTTTGAGCCTTTGCTTTTCTTTTATTCTCCCTTCTCTATAGAGGGAGCTTATGTAGCAAATATACATCTTATAATTTCCCAATGCAATAAAATTTCCAATTGATTGTTTTTGAAACAATACTTTCCTATCTTTCTGTTGCCCCCTTAAACAGATTTTCTTTATGGCTATTATTGCTTGGGTTGGATACGGGTGTGAGGGACTGAGGCTAGGGATCCAGCTGCTGGCAGGGCTTATTCCAGGCTTCCAGCTGTGAAAGAGAGGCTCTGAGGCCTTTGGAAATGAGAAGGGGAATACTAGCATGAACTTGTATATTTCTGCTTCCGCAATGAAGGGTATGGGTCCTCACTTATATAGATGAGGTTAACCCCTAACAAGAGAATCTAATCAAATAACCAAAGTAATCTCGTCTCCTAACCAAACCAACTAAGATTTTAATCTCCAATCTGCTATTTTCTTCCCTCACTTGGAGGTGGCCTTGCTGATTCTTGCGTGTGGGGTGTCTCTACTTGCTGCTGGCTGCTGCCCCAGAGACACTAGAGCCCGTAACAGTTGTATGGATAACTGGACTCTAATGTAGGATTAGGGACCATAAAAGGAAGTCATCAGGACTTCCTTGAAATCCAGCTGAAGGAACAGAAAACACTGGTGGGGGGGGGGGGGTCAATAAACCATTTGATCTGCAATATCACATGACACAAATGATTACTGGGTACAGATGAAACTCCTAGCTTGTCTTTCTTCGGTGAATCACACTAGATCCCAGCAATAATTAGTAATTTTTCTTCTCTAGGTCACACATAACAAAAGGCTGGTGTCCAGGAATCGATTACACTCCAGCTGCTCGACCTAGTCTTCCCCTTAGGATCATCACTCCAAAATATCTGAGTATGAAATATGAGGGAAGCAATTTAGTCTTTAAGAGTTTAAAGTTAGAATATCATTAGGTAAAGACTAAAGAAGTTAATTTTTTACTGTGTTTATGTACCTGCCCATCATCATGACCGTGGCTTGAGGGTTCGTCCCTGGTGATCTAGAAAATGTTGAGCCATCGACTACACGGACGCCTGAAACTCCAAGCACACGGTGTTGCTGATCAACCACCTTCCCTACATGGCATCCACCATGGTAGTGCCAGATGGTTATTACTGTATCCCTGCAAAATTGCTCTAGGGATTCTGTGTCATTTGTATGCTTGGGTATCAAGTTCACATTAGCCTGCACACTCATATTGAGCACTCTTTCCATTGAATGTCCATCAGTGTTGGCAGACAGTTCAGAGAAACGGTTTGTCTTCAGTATTCGTTCAATGGTCTTGATACCATAGACGCAACGAGTGAGATCCTGTGGATGACTGAAGTAGTTGAAGGTAACCGCAGGGTTCTTCTTGACATCAGTGTCTATCAGGGCAAGATGTCCCGTAGACAGTGGACCATCAATCTTCTCGAGGATAAAACCACCATGGAATATCTCTTTGGGTAGATTAAGTTTGGTATTTGCATACTTCTGTGCTTTTTCCAGGCTTCTTTCCTTCGGAGGAATTGTGGACAGCTGTCCAATCTGTACCATAGGAATATAATATGTATTAGACCAACAAGGCCAAGTAGGGAACAAATTGAGACAACAATGGAAACTATGATGGCAGTTATTGGAGTTGTTGCAATGTAGACAACACTTATTTTTTTTAATCTCCAAGACAAGAAGTTCAATTCTGAGATCTGATTCCTAGAAAATCTAAGCATAAAACAATGACTTATAAATCAGATAAGTATTATTTCTTAGAATATACTATTATATGCATATGCATATTCACCTGTAATTAATGAATTGGTCTAAGTTGTGTTTGCAATGTTGCAAAATGTGAGTTTTGATAGTTTAGACTTTAGAATCTGTTTTCCTTTTTGAAGTCTGCAGATCTAAGCAGCAGCTTTTTCCTGATGTTTGTGATACTGCTTTAGACCTATTTTATGCACAAAAAGCTTCTCATGATGCAAGTAAGATTGATGACATACCTCAGCGGACATGATTCCATGGTGGCAATGGATGCTTTCTGGTGACTGGCCAAAACCACTACTGGCCTCAATGAACACACCAGCTTCAGTTATTCCAACAGTCTCAATCAGGGACTGGCGAGGGGGGCTTTTCGTCGGTATGAATATGGAGTTCATGGGGTTATCAGCCATCCCTTTACCCACATACTTGTTATGGAGAACTACAGGAATTTTATGGCTCCTAAGGTCATTCTTGGGTCCAATCCCACTGAGCAATAGCAGCTGGGGGCTGCCAATTGCGCCAGCAGAGACAATGATTTCACTATCACAGTTGCTGTTGAGGAATGCCTGGTGGAGTCCTCCATTCTCATCGGTGAACTGAACTCCGGTTGCTCTTGGCTTCAGTTGCCCTGCATCAGAAATGGTGTATCTGAAATATGGTACGTGATTACTGAACTTACTCTTTCTATTCATGGCATATAATTCTATATAACTCTATTTTAGAAGATAATACAACTTGTAGGAGCTTTGGCCACACATGTGTAATTATTTACCTCTCTGCGAGTTAAAGACTATCCTGTTCACACTAGCATGAAGCAGCACCCTTAGGTTGTTAGGGTCTCCAGCTGCAAGTAAGTCGGCTGCTGTGTGGCGGTAGCCAGTCTCATCAAAGATGGTGCCACCAACTTTGGTCCCAGAAACATGGTCATATGTGTAGCCATTGAAAGGAGATACACCTGCTTGGAGTAGCCCATCCCTTAGTGCAGCCTGCCAAGGTGCGATCTTAGGCCACTGGACGATCTTGTCCTCCACCCAAGGGAAGGACTCATTCACCAGGTCTTCATCCCAGCCTACCTCCTGGATGAAGCTGTTTGTTTCAAGAACAAAAACACATGGTATACAAGTTATTAGCAATTTAACATGTAGTTCACCAATAACAATTTAACATGTAGTTCACCAATATGAATATCAATATAGAAGTAAAATTCCTTCTTGAAGACTACGGGATTAAGCTTATCAATTATTGATACCTTTTAAGTCACATTGGCGTTTCTGGTAATGAGCAGGTATATCACTAGGGATGACTGATGAGCACGGGTGTGTGGGGCCCACCCATTGACCTATTGTAATTCGATTCTGTACAAATAATTCGAATGCATATGTACTAATTGGCCCAAACTTGAAGTAGCCTCGAGTCTACTAGGGTTTTAGTTATTTAGTGTCCTTTGCCTAGACAACTTAGTTACCATGACTGCAAAGAAACAATTATAGCCCCATGTGATTTTGTTTTGTTGTCTCTCTCTTTTTTTTTTTCATCAATGTCTCTTTTCAATCTAGTCTGTTTCAGTAACATGTAGTTCATGACTGCAAGAAGAGCAAGGAAGTCTTTTTATTCACTGAGAAAACCACAGCATGTGCTGCTGCCAGCGTAGTTAATTATTTGCAATACCAGACTGAAGCACTTTAATGCAAACCACTTTTGCAATCTGCTTATTTTCTTTATGTTATCAACTTTCTCACTAGTGCTCATTTGTATGCAAGCACTCAAAGTACAACCTTTGCTAATTTTACAGCTGGATTTTATTTCGTTATATATTGCAGAGCTGCATTGTGATAAATCTCAAAGAAAGCCTGCATTTTGATAACCATAAACTAGAAGTCTAGAATCATACCAACCAAAATATGTAGTCCTAGTGAACCGATAATCATGTCCAAATGCAGTGCTGGGTACGTTCTAGAGTGAGTGCTAGTAATGCAGGTGGTGGTTTTATGCATTTGTGTCTTTTGGCTGGCTCATTTTAGTCGATTAGAACCTATTTGAGCTACACTAATTAGTGTTTGTTTGTTTCCCCGTTTTCCCTTTTCCATTTGGACGCTGGAGAAAAGAAACAAGAGGTTGTAGCCAGAGAATCCTAATTGGCAGAAACTTTGGTTTCATGGTAATTGAATGCTACTATTGAGAACAGTGAATAATATTTAGTGTTCTGCTGCACGTTTCAGCAGACAGCTATTACTCCACTTGAAGGGTGAACAAAGGTGGCTGCAGTATGCTAGGGTGGCAGCAGTCAAGCAGATCTTACCAGTTACCATTAGTAATTTCTACTGGCACTATCACTGCTCTGCATTTACCCTAGAGCTGATGTTTGTTCATGTGAAAGTGATAGGCCATGTGTTGCATATACTGAGAGACTACTTGGTATATTTAATCTACTTATGCTAACTTCATTTTAGGCTCTGCTATTTGTGCTTGCCCTCTTATGGTAAAGAATATAATAGTAAATTATATCTGAAGTCTTGATCATGATTGAGACCATTCTGCACTTCGGCAGTAAAAAAAAAGGTTAAATTTGCATGTGTGAACTGTGAATTCTCTTGCATATGTTTGTGTGTATATATTAATGCTGACCATTCTGCACTTCGGCAGTAAAAAAAAGGTTAAATTTGCATGTGTGAACTGTGAACTCTCTTGGCTGGTCACTCGTAGACGGAAGAGAACAATCATAATCAGGTAAGAATACTGATACACAAGATAGCATCCATATCTGTGCAATGCAATTGCTTACTTTGAGCTGGCCCGGCTGTAGAAGCCGGCATTGATGCAGGTGCCACCTCCCAACACCCTCGCTCGGGCATTGATGACGCCGTCAGTGGAGATGAAGGCCTGAGACGCCGAGTCCGGCGCCATATTGCTCAGGCCAATGTGGAAGTTCTCCATGTAGGAGACGTTGCGGTTGCCATACGGAGACCCTCCCCTCTCCAGCAGGAGCACCTTGTACTTGAGCGACAATGTCGCCGCCAGGGGGCAACCGGCGGTGCCCCCGCCGACGACAATGTAGTCGTATGTCTCGTGGCGCATCGCTGGGAAGCTGCTCGCCTTCTGGAGGGTAGGGAGATTCCTTAAGCTGAATTGCTGGTTGCCTGAGAAAACAAAGTGTTCCATAATGTTGTCATTGCCTGAAAAAGTTTTGCTTTGTTCTGCTGTAAGTTTCTCATGCTATAACCCCCTTTTTTTTTTTGCATGACTTCAATAAAAGCTTTCATTATCTAAAAACATAACCTGTTTTTGCATGTTGATAAATGAGTGTATCAATCTAATTGATGCTATGATTACTAGGGTCTGGACCTCTTGGCAGTTGGCATTGTACCTCCTAGGACTGGATGAGAGGTACGTCTTGTGGCATTGTGTTGACTATTTATTTCCTATCCTTCAATCTCTAAATATTGAACTCTGAATGATTAGATGTTCTGCTACTCTCAAATACTAGTGGTGAGGCCAATGTGGCGATAAACAATGATAGGAACCAAAGTGTCAGATAATGGAAGTGCACGTGATAATGATATTCTTGCGAGAAAGAAGCTAAGCAAAAACTAGCATATATAACTGCATTTCACCATTGCAAGTTCTTCAATGGGAAGGTGGAACAGAAATGTACAGAATAAAGGAGGAATGCCTGAGAAACATGAGATGAGACAGAATACAGAATAGAGGAGGAATGCCTGAGAAACATGAGATGAGACAGAACCACAAGAGATGCGCACCTTGGGATAAACTGAAGGAGCAGAGGCAAACCATGGCCTGGAAGATGAATAGCATTCTCTTGCTCAAAGCCATTGAGCCTGAGAACCACCTGCCAAGCTAAACTCTTTCCCCTTCTTAGGATTTTCCTTCCCTCCAAAACAACGGTGGCAAAACCTCTCTCCCTCCCCTGTTTCCTGATCTCCACCTCTCAAGCTTGCTCACTGCATTTGAGTAGGTTTATGTAGAGGGCTTGGCATTGGGGGATTGATAGCAATAGGCTGCTGTGTATATGCATTAAAGAGAGCTCACCAGCTCTAGTAAGTGCTATTCAATGCAGAGGGAGCACTGGCCTGGTACAACTGGGATTTATGGACTTCATCAACCAACCAACCGTAGCAAGGCTGCTCTGAAGGTACCCACCACCCTCATTACAAGAATGACAGTCGTATATCTCTTTCCTCTATCTATTCATAGAAAAATATTTTCCTTTTCCAATCTTTTTGCCAATTGGTTAAGCCAACGTGTTATTAGTATTCTAATATTCTATTCCTGGTCTGTTCCCTCCATTTTTCAAATATAGGCTGTGTTTAGTTCGTGTGCCAAAATTTTTTTTAAGTACACGGACACACATTTGAAATATTAAACGTAGACTAATAACAAAACAAATTACAGATTCCGTCTGTAAACTGTGAGACGAATTTATTAAGCCTAATTAATCCGTCATTAGCAAATGTTTACTGTAGCATCACATTGTCAAATCATGGCGTAATTAGGCTCAAAAGATTCGTCTCGCAATTTACAGTCGGACTGTGCAATTGGGTTTTTTTTTTCGTCGACATTTGATGCTCCATATATGTGTCCAAACATTTTATGTGACGGAAAAGTTAGAAGTTTGAAGAAAAAAGTTGAAATCTAAACATGGCCATAGATACATTCTTGTTATTTAGTGCAGATGCTTCCATCTTTAAATACCAGTTGCAGACTTGCAGGAAACATATGGTGCCATTTTTTTATAGCAACTGCAGAAATTGTTTTGTGCTGCCATCTTCTTGGAACCTATATGCTGACAAACATGCTCCAAATTATAATTAGTTAGAAATGTCTCTGATGTAGATTATCCAGCTCTCACGGCCTGTTTGGTTGGAGGGAGTTGGTGATGGGGAATAGGAGTTTATGATATCTGGGAGTTTAAGTCTGTAGTTTGGTTGGAAGACTTGGGAATTCGAGGGGGTTTGGGATGGGGAATTAAAAGGTCGAATTCTCACCAATATCTTACCTGGGAGAGACCTGTTAATTCGTGAGACTTGGAGGGAATTCGACGTGAAACCAAACAAGGGACGAGAACTAAAAATGTAACTCCCATGACCAATCCCACCATCAACTCCCTCCTTAAAACTCCCATTCCTCTTCCCTTCTCTTACCAAACAGACCGTCAGTGTTTTTATTTCATTTCATCTAGAAAAATTAGCCACCATCCCTGAATAGACAAGCATAGCAAAGTTTACTGTAATGCACCGCTCAAAGTTACCGTCTTACCATTAAGATTACTTCTTTTATCTGCACACTGTTCCTTGTTAATGCGATGTGTATAGCTAGAAACAAAGCAGAGAGCTAAGCCAAGCTGAGGTTGAATTGACTAATTGTGTGGCCTACCTTGTCCTATCTGGTCTGTAGGGATTTATATTGCTATCGCTCAAATATATCATTTATGGGTTGATGGCCATACTAAATACACTTAACAATAATAAATGCTATGTGCTACCTTTAGTTATGGAGTACATTACATTACATTGCTTGAGACTCGTCATGATCAACATACAGTGTGCAAAACTGTTCTTTGTTTTTTTATAAGACCTCTTTTAGGACTTACAAAGCTGTTATTGAACCTTTCATGTCCATTAGGCGGTACTCACTTGTGAGCACCAGGAAAAGCAATTAGACCTCCATATAAATTTTGAACTGGAAAGCAAGCGAGCAAAATTTATTACCACCATCAACTGCCTGTGTATATTTGGCAGAAAACAATTGATGCACAAGAAAAGAGTGAAGTGTTAACTATTACATCTGCCCCAACATTACTAGGCTGTCCTCTTTTCGTTCCCCTGCAACCATGGAGCTTGTGAGTAAAGAAAAATAAAACACTGAGCGTTCGTCAACTACACTATGATGCTTTTCTTTTCCTGCATCCCTGGAACTCACAGGTTTACTACAAGAGTGAAACCTAAAGCAGAACTATAGCTAATCTCAAGCTGCAACGTGTCGCACACTTTTCATTTCCCTCACAAGGATATAACTCTTTTGTTGCTTATTTGTCTGCAGATTGGAAGAAAGGGACCTATGCCTCTCAAGCACTTTAAGGAGAGGGAGAGCCAAGGACAATATGACCTGTGAAGAACCAGAAAGAGCCTTCACATCACACGGTTACATCTGGATCGAAAAGAGACGCCCTAACAACCTACTCGCAGGCAACCTGGGATTATTTAAAGGTAACACGAGCTAGCGTTAAATCAGTTTCTACACACCCGTTTTCACCTGTTGTCACAGACTCAGTGTCACACACCAAGCGTGTGTATGCATGTAGATATAACACAACTTGCATGGGTGAATCTTTTGGTCGCCATGCAGCCTACATTGATGCTGCCGGAAAATTAGGTGAGTGGGAGATATATGATGACACTGTGCATCATCTTGATTTGCAGGGCTGTCTGAGCTGCCGAAGCAGAGTGGTGCACCTAGGGGTCACAAGACTCACATCCTTGTCCGGGCAGTTCGCTGATCGCCGGACGGCTCCTTAATTTTCTCAACAGAAGCCTTTAATCTGTATTCAAATGGCTCTAAATGGATCCGCAGCCAAACATTTCCAAGATACAATCGTAACTCTATTGGGTGGATTCTGGAATCTCGATGAAATGGAGTTAGATCTGGGAGAAGAATCAGTACTGGAACTATGTCAAATGGGGCAACCTGACCAGTGACTAGTGACCACTGCTACGAGCTGGAACCTGTTAAATTTCCATGCCCATCCATCCATATGATATATTTCCCACTCACCACCAGTTTTTCTGAACCTGATGCAATTATGCAAGTAATCAAGCAATCAACCCACCGGTGAAGATGTTGGTCAATGACTGAAACTAGGAGGCTAAGGTTATGTCATCAAGATGCTCCATCTCCCTGGAATCCCAGCATTTTCATCCTCTACCATTTCAATACAACCACATGGAAATTGTGCTAGAATCATCATCATCACCATGAAACAAAGGTACATTTCCTCCTTTTGAAAAGCAGTGATACTGAATTTTTCAGCACTTAAATACACCACTTTGGATCCTAAGATTGGCGTCGACACCCTTAACTCCTGTGGGGTAAATCACAACCCCCTCCCTGCCATTGGATTGAATGGTTCATGCAACACAATAGGACTACATGAGTGCTACAGGTGACCCCCTCATCCCCAAAGAAAGTTCTAGTTCTCGCAAGGTTCCAAGTTCATCACCTAGCCATTGTGTTCACCCACTTCCCTTGCTCCCCTTCATCCGGTCCAACCTTAGTCGTGAATGCATGCACGTAGTTACATGTACGAACATCTATGTTATGAAGATCGTAGATGTCATCGTGGCGCCCTAATCCACTTGGCAGGTGCGGTTTACTACACCCACATGGCAGTGACTGTTCACGACGATTTTCCTAGAATAGTTGCTTGTACTGTGAGGAGAACTTGCAAATGTAAATACTGCTGGCAGCACACAGTTAGGAGAGATGTTAGCTGTGCCATACGGTGTGCGCTTAAATGAGAAGGGCAGAAGGTCACATGGTAGCGTATTTACCAGCTGTGTCCCAGCACTGTCCGTCTGCTGCTGCCCATTGGTGATGCAACCATGGCCATGTTTGTGTGATCCCTTGAGCTCAAATGCTTCGTACTGTGATTATCAAACCATCTAATACTAATCAAAGTTGTTTTTGTAGATGCCACTATATCGTCTCACCTCTCTTGTCCTTTCTTTTTTGTTGTTAGGAAAAATGGGGCGATCTTGCTACTGTTTCAAGTTTAAGGCGGCGGCAGATCAGCGCAGTCCTCCTGTCTCTTCACAGATGATTGGCTGGAAAAACAAATTCTGCATCTCATCTGGTGGTTGCGTCTCAACGGAGCTGACGTGATGGTCTGACAAAGATGTTTCAAACCATAAATTAGTCACTGACAAAGCCTGCTTCTGTTGTTCGCCGAAATTCTTTTAGAAGACTCAGGCCCTGTTTAGATGGGACTAAAACTTTTAAGTCCCTATTACATCGGATGTTTGAAAATTAATTATAAATATTAAACGTAGACTATTAATAAAACCCATCCATAATCTTGGACTAATTTGCGAGACGAATCTAATGAGCCTAATTAATCCATGATTAGCCTATGTGATGCTACAGTAAATATTCTCTAATTATAGATTAATTAGGCTTAAAAAATTTGTCTCGTGAATTAGCTTTTATTTATGTAATTAGTTTTGTAAGTAGTCTATATTTAATACTCTAAATTAGTGTCTAAAGACAGGGACTAAAGTTAAGTCCCTGGATCTAAACACCACCTCAGTTTGATTACTGAATAGTAGTGATTGATTTTGGTCATTTGGGGCGCCGTCTGCATGTTCCATCCTGCCTACTGGTAAAGATTAGTGATGGTAATACAAAGGAGTACATATGTTCAATGTTCATAGCAATCCTCTACAATTGTCCTTTCAGATACACAAATTTGAACTGAATGTGATTTTGTGAAATGTGAAAAGGAGAATGGTGAAAATACGAAACAATTTCGACCAATCCTAAGGGACGTATCACTGGTGAATGATGTTCAAAATTTATGTTGGGATGATCCACCACCGCATGTGCCTTCCTGCAGAAACTCCATATCTAATTTAGCGAAGTTTTATGCAATACACCCTTACTCCCTTAGGTCCATGAAGTGAAATGGCCAAGGGGGAAAGGTTTTAACAAGGGAGATGAAATGGTGGGGATATGATGGAGGTTTAGATCATACTTGCAATCCAGCTAGAGCAAATGCAAGTGATGATGTTGGCCTAGTCTAAGAGGGCACTACAGTGAAGATCTAGCTCAAGGATCAATGTTGTGGGACATGTTGGGGGATCTAGCCTAGATGTGTCTCACAATGAAGGTCATGAGTGTATATATCCTTAACCACCACAATGTGTGTTGCATGGCATGGGAGCCTTTGTCCTCCCTAGTGCCAACACCATCGTTGCCTCCTTCATTTTGGTGATGATGGGGTAGTTGTAGCTCATGGTTACCCGCCTCCGGGTTTGGTCATGTGGTACTTCCATTCCCTACACTCATTTGATTTGCCCCTCCCCTGCCTTTTGTGAGAGACCAACACTCAGAACAAAACCCAGAGATGCATGTATTGTGCAATGGTGTGCAGAAGGTAGTAACTGGGAATCAATAATGTTGTTACGCATCATCCTCACCAAAACTCAATGGCATCGCCAATTCACCATCACCACAATCCGACTTCTTAGTTTTCTTAATCCTGTGTTTAAAAGGAGCCTTTTTGGTCTTATTGTGACACATTTTCGTGGTGGAGTCAGGAGAGAGCTCCTATTGACTGTCAGTAGTTATGAGAGCATCTCCAAGAGCTCCCTAATATCAGCTTCAAAAGATAAATTTTAGGAATCTAGAAAACAGGTCTCCAAGAGATGCCCAAAGATGGTACCAATATTTACCCACACCTAAAACCAGAACTAATCTGAACCAATTTTGGGCACCTCCATGCACTCCCAATTGATGAAATCGCCGGAGGTTTTTGCCACTCGTGCCTTTTCTTCCCCTGTCGTGCACTGCCGCGAGATGCCCGAGCCATGCCTGCAGACTTGTCGATGCCCTCGTCATCCCCTACCGCAGCTGTTAGGCACGCGCAAGATCACCCTGCTGCACAACATAGCTGAGCCGCTAGCGCGCAATTGGTTGGTAGCGCCTAACGCCGATCTCCCTTTTATCAGAAAAATGGAAAGACAAACGGTTGAAGCAGATCTACTTGAGATGATGTGGCATGTTTTAAAATGATTGGAAACCAAATTTAGGGGCACTCTTGGAGTAGAAGGTGATATTTGGGCCCAATTTCTTTTGGGATGGTCCCAATCCAAGAATTTTAGGAGTTAAATTTTTGGATGCTCTTGGAGATGCTCTCAGTGGTAAATTTTCGGCAACAAAGCTGAGGTATTCCATGATGAAACTTATGATTTTTTTTTTTGCCACACGATCAAATCCATTTTCATATCACAAATTTAATTAGCTAAAGACTTGCATGCATATTTCAATGACCGAACTTATAACTACATAAACTCCAAACTACACCAAACAGAAACGATCACAATAATGTTCCAATAGTGCAATTAATTCAGCTCACCAAGGATGTCTTTTTCTCTCTTTGAGGTCCCAACCACTAACTTCTCCAGGGTGTACATTACCGTTTTCAAGGTGAAAACTGATCCCTTTCGGTTTACCGAAAACCAAGCGAATACTACTTTCGTAGGCTCTATTTGAAAACCGGCTTAAGGCTAGTCTCAACACAAGACACTAAATATAGTTTTCATAAACTTCTCATCATCAAGAAACTAGTACTAGACACTACTCTTTTAATGCAAACACTATTTTTTCATACTTAAATTTAATGCTACTTATTTCACATGATGTTTTGGATGTTGTGTAGAAACCATGTCTTAGGGCACCCGCAATGGTTATCTATAGGCTCTCTACAAGAGATCTATGTCAGCATATTTTCCTACTTGGAAGAGATTAAATGAAGAGAGAGAGCAAAGCTATCTACTAACCTGGAGATAGTCTATAAAGAAAAACGAGGCAATGAATTAGATAGCTATAGATACCCATGTAGACATACCATTAAAGTGGTTTACTATTAATCTAGTCTATTGCTGATATGTACATGGTAGCACCTTACTTTACCATTGTGGGTGCTCTTATGCAAGACCTGGTTTCCTTATCTTTCCTCATTTATTCACTTGTCACATTATTTTTTATACTAGGTAGCAGCTTATTTAATACTATGGACACCATACTAGTCTTTGGGTTGGAAATGGTCTAAAGCAATCGGTTTTCACCTTGAAAACTGATCCGTGTCGGTTTACCGAAAATCGAGCGAATACCACTTTTGTCAGCTTTATTTGAAAACCAGCTAAAAGCGATCGGTTTTCACAAAACAGACCCCTAACATTTTGATGAAAACCGGTTAGAATCGCGAATTCTGCTCCCAAGCTAATCCATTTTGATCCCCCATCGCATTGTCCTCGCTCGTACGGAAAAGAGAATCAAGATATGAAAAGTTTGAAACAGAACTGGAAATTTATTTGCTCTTTGATGGCCGATTCCGATGTGCAACTGTTCGTGCGGTGGATACATACTGCATGCCATGTCAACCACGGAATTCAATTAAACTCACTCGTCGAATGATGTTGAAATTGAATTGAATTGAATGTCGATCGGTCAACATCATGTGTTAATTGGAACGCGTACGTACGTAGATACATCTCCTACTATCGCATTATTGTTCTTTTGATCAGAACCGGACAATGCCAGTCATCTGCACGGCTACTATCAGATGTATAAAGACAACGTATATGTACACACAGTACATGTGTCGTCACGCACCGCCTTATGGAATTAATTAAACTAACTTAATTAAAAGCAGTCCATAATAAAAGATTTAGTATATTCAAAATTACTTGTAAGCATATGCATGGGTGGCTAGTAAGTTGCACATGTATGGAGGACTTGTACAGTTGTATAATTGTATGTGTCTTATGAAAAATTTGACAGATTAACTTGTAGCCTGATAGACTGCCTTCTTTTTAGTTGAAGAAAAAGGTCACAAATTGAAAGATGTGAAGGGGCTAAATGATCTATTGTATGTGTCTATGGCGTGTAAAATGTGAAGACAATGGTTTTTTTTTAAAAGGAGAATTTTGAGTGGGTCTTGTGCCAAGTGAAACCTTTCTTGCAGTACTTTGCATATCACATTTTTTTTATTATACAAAAGATGCCCATAAACATATATACATATAACTCACATACCTAAATGCGCTGTCTACACATACACATAGTAAAAAGACACAGGTCACGAGTTGGTCATATAAGGATGAGTTCAAACCTACATGCTGTGAAACTTTCTTTCCGGCAAAAAAAAATAGCAATGGATTAGCGCAAGAATAATTATGTATTGGCTTAAAAAACTTTAAAAATAAATTAATATGATTGTTTAAAGCCATTTTTCTATATTTTTTTAAACAACACAGCTTTCAGCAGTAGGAAATATGCGCGTGAAAAATGAGAGAGTAGAAGTTAGGAAAATATAGTCGAGAACACACGCTAAGATTGTTTATAAGGCCATTTCCCAATGAACGATGCCATTTTTATGTTTCTAAAGATGCCACATAAACAACAAGACATTTAATTAATAATTGAAACAGCGCCCATACTGCAATGCATGGTTTTATTTTTGTTGTTTCATAGCTAGCATAGTAGCATATGCAAGAGACAAACTGTATTGGTAAAAGTGTAGAAATTGTTTCATCTAGATAAAACTCATTTCATCTCTCACTTCATTAATTTCTTACTACATCATCAAAAAATACTGGCATATGTCACCCTGTTTAGAATAAAAATTCTATTGGGAGGGGCCCAAACCTAAAGTCGTGTACTTCTAAACATAATATGGGCCGTACTATGTTTTGGGCCACTCACGAAGCCCAGCAAAAAGAACGCGTCCTACCTTGAGGCCCAACTTAGTAACGCAGATCCAGAATTCCAGAGGCCTCTTCGCTTCACCCAAAAACCCAAACCCCACCATGGCCGCCGCCGCTGCCTCGCCGTCTCCGGCGACGCCGCCGCGGATCCTCCTCGCCGGCGACGCGAACGGCCGCCTCCACCAGCTCTTCAAGCGCGTCACCTCGGTAACCTCCTCCTCCGCCGCCGCCGCGTCCTCCCCTCCCATCTCGTCGTATCCTCTCACCGGCTGCCGTCGGCACAGGTGAACCAGTCGACGGGGCCGTTCCACGCGCTGCTCTGCGTCGGGCAGTTCTTCTCCCCCGATGCCGGCGACGGGGATGGCGGCGGCGGCGGGGAGGTCGCGGACTACCTGGAGGGACGCGCCGCCGTGCCCATCCCGACCTACTTCACCGGGGACTACGGCCCCGCGGCGCCTCGCCTTCTCGCGAAGGCCGCGTCCAGCGCCCGAGGCTTCTCCCCCGGAGGCATCCAGATATGCCCCAACCTCTTCTGGCTCAGAGGCAGCGCCCGCTTCACCCTCCATGGTTTCTCTCTTCGTCTTTCCATTTCTCAATTGTGTTGGACTAATTTGTTTCATTAACTTAGGCGTAAATACTGTGCTCATAGATGAGTAGCTTTACATCTCCAATGTCTGAAGTAAAATGTTAAACCTGTTCAATTGCAGCATCTTTTCTTTTGAAGCTGATAAAATATTCCATGCGAGCTATTGTAGAAATGGGCTGGAAATGGGATCATCGAAACAAATGCTTGCTTTAGCAATTCCATTTATTGGATTTTCTCACCTTTCGTTAGGTTTATCTGTCGTTTACTTGTCGGGAAGGAAAGGGCCAGGAGGGCCTGGCTGCTACAGCCAGGATGATGTTGATGCACTACGGGCTCTTGCCGAAGAGCCGGGGATTGTTGATTTGTTTTTGACATATCCTTTTTTCTTTCTATGGCATTATTATTTCTTAGCTGCTTGTGTTAAACTGAGGTGTTGTCGTACATGAATTCTCAAAGTATCAAGTTTGGTGCTGAGTTCCCTTGACGATAATGAGATTGCACTAACGAATGGCCTGCTGGAGTGGTGAATGGAGTTGATACTTCTAATGCACCTTCTCAGATATCGGATCCTCATGGATATGATCCTGTAGTTGCTGAATTGGTTGCTGAGATTAAGCCACGGTTTGGTTTCTGAATTCATATTTTCTATATCCCTCCTTGAAGAAGAAAGTAGTGTTGGTGGTAGTAATTCAGATTTTAGAGTTCAAATCCATTGCACTGATGTTCTCCGGGAGTAACGAAAACTGTAATTTTGTGATAAAACTGCTGCTAAATCTGTAGTTTTGTGATACTATGCCTTAACTCTATAGTTTTGAGATAAATGTGATGCTAAATCTATAGTTTTGTTATACACCTCCTTAAATTTGTAGTTTTGCAGTAGTTTGGTCAAGGTATTTGTAGTTTTGTGAAATTCACACGAAGAACCTTCCATATGACGTTTTATTCTCTTTTAGGCTTTTAGCCTTCTAACAACAAATTCACGAATTAACATTAAAGGCCAAACATGACTGAATTGCCATGTATATATGTGGTGTGTGAGTTAATTCTGAAATCAGTGTGTGTATCACAGTCAAATGCCCCTTGTAACACAAAAGGTGAAGGACTTCAATGCAGAAATTACATTTATTTCTTTGAACAATATGAAGACATGCATAATTTTCTTTTATCCAAGCAAATACACTAGTATTAAGCTAGTAGTTTAAATGTTGACTAGACTAACTGAAAGCATAATCACGGAATATGTTTACATTTATATAAGTCTATAAGATACAATGCCAACCAAAAGTATACCGAATTTGTAACAAAAGTCTGTTTCCTGCAGATATCATATTGCAGGTTCTAAAGGTGTATTCTATGCAAGGGAACCATATGTGAGTGATTCCGCTGCACATGTTACCCGTTTTATTGGACTTGCTAATGTTGGAAACAAAGAGAAGCAGGTACATCTATATTTGGCCAAATCAACTTAGTTCTTCAAACATAGTTTCTGGTTATAATTCTACTACATTTTCTTGTATTTTGTTCATAATTTAGTATACATATTAAGTTCTAGTACTCCCTCCGTTTCACAATGTAAGACTTTCTAGAATTGCCCACATACATATAGATGTTAATGAATCTAAACACATACATATGTCTAGATTCATTAACATCTAAATGAATGTGGGCAATGCTAGAAAGTCTTACATTGTGAAACGGAGGAAGTATTAGTTTTCAGTTATATTTATCATTTTCAGAAATGAAAATCTTCACTGATTTATTAGTGTATTTCAGAAACCTGCAACTTATATGGTTACAATATCTGTTTCCTACATCTTTAAGTCAGGTTTTCAGTTAGCAACAACTTCAACAATCAGTTTCCAGGCCTTCTGGCAAAGTGGGTCCACTTATCATGCGCATGGTCAAGTTGACCATTACAATTTACCATGTGTACAAACTGGACATGCACATATGGCTCCCTATTGGGGCTAGGGAGAGGAGATAACAATATGGGTCCTAGGATCAAGGTTTAACTAAAATAGAGTTAGTTATGCACTTACTTGATGGTGGCTTTACCCTGCGTGGCGCACTCTCTTCCAAGACCACGTCATAAGAGCAACTCCAGTGTGGGGCTTAAAATGATTTTAATGCAAAAAGATCGAACTGTGTACACTGTGGCAGTCGACGCATGCATGTCAGAGCAAAAATCAAACTCCAAAGTATATTCAAACTCAACCGAGTAAATAGTTCGTTGCCCTGGGCCATTGGCACATGCAGGCAGGGCAGAATGTAGTGATTGGAGGAACTTTTTTCAACATGGGTCCCACGATTCGATTCAACACTACAGCTATCGAACCAAACCTTTATTCAACTTCGGTGGATTGTAGCAGTCGAATCAGCAGTGGAGCTGCTCTAAGGCCACTTTGCATTGTAAATGCCCTAGCAGTCCTGAGTTGGCCGTTTGAGAAATACAACTGAACCTGCCTTGTCAAATGGTTTAGATGGTAGCAGAATTGCAGTTCTGTGAACAAAATTTGTGCACTGATTTTGTGGTAGCAGAATTGCTGAAATCATCCCCTGAAGTTGTAGATAACTGATAGTTATGTTAAATTTCTGTTATCACATTTACTCTTGATTTGTTGCTATTATTCTTAATTGTCTACTCATTATTGCATATTCTTTTTCAGAAATTTATTCATGCAATTTCTCCTACTCCAGCATCTACCATGTCCAGTGTTGATATTCACGCAAGGCCTCCAAATACTACTTTATCCCCATATATTTCTCCAGCAAAGTCAGTTCCTGTTGAAGAAACTCCAAAGCGTCCTGCTGAGGATGCTGATTTGCAATACTGGCGTTACGATGTCAAGAAGCAAAGACATGGTGAAGCCGGTGGGAATCGTCTATGTTTCAAATTTACATCATCAGGATCCTGTCCTCGAGGGAGTAAATGCAATTATAGGCATGATGAGGAGGCCAGGGAGCATTACAATAGGAATGTCTGTTTTGATTTCTTAAACAAAGGAAAATGTGAGAAGGGTCCTGAGTGTAGGTTTGCTCATAGCCTTTCTGATGAGGGTGCTGTTAGGGATACAAAACCACGTAGGTGAGAAAATATTCCAAATCTCTCACTCTGTCTGAAGCACACATGCACAATCTGCCACCCCACCTACTCACATTGCACTTTTACAAATTACCCCTTAAACTTCTTAGTATTAAATATCAATCAAATCCTAAATGGATAGACATATAAAGTTAAATTGAGTAGTAGTATTATAATATATTTTATATTTTTTTATCTATAGCAAAGCACAAGCATTCGGCTAGTATACTAAGAATTCTGATTATCTAATTGTGGGATTCACCCTGTATTTTTGTTTACTACAGCGAACGAAGACGTGTTGAGAGCAGTTGCTGGTTCTGCTTGTCAAGTCCAGATGTTGAATCACATCTTGTTATCAGCATTGGAGAAGGTTACTACTGTGCACTTGCAAAAGGGCCACTTGTTCCAAACCATGTTCTAGTTATACCAGTTGAGCACTGCTCTAGTACACTAAAGATGCCCGTGGAAGCTGAGGCAGAGCTTGGGAGATATAAGGATGCTCTGGCCAAGTATTTTGAGAAACAAGGAAAGATAGCTATATACTTCGAGTGGGTTTCTCAGCAGTCCCGCCATGCAAACCTTCAGGTGAGGACATTTTTTTCCTGATATGTTGCTCCATGCTTCCATTTAAATGATGCTGTCATTTGGAATTTGGATGCTTGTATGCGATCTCATTTGTTTTTTGTTCATACTGGATGGTAATCCACTAAATTTCTGCGCAGGCTGTTCCAGTACCATTGTCTAAAGCATCAAGTGTTAAAAAGATATTCCATTTAGCAGCACAGAGACTGGGATTTGAATTTTCTGTAGTGAATCCAGGTGAAGTTGTACCTAACTTTATCTCTCTTAGTCAGCTGAATAGAAAGGGGATAGACAAAAACAATCTTAGGCTGCGATCGTTCCCCTGGGTTCCCCTGGGTTGGGAACGTAACCCTCCGGCACGGAAAACGGAATGGTCCATTAGCACGTGATTAATTAAGTATTTACTAAATCTTTTTTCAAAAATGAATCAATATGATTTTTTTAAGCAACTTTTGTATAGAAACTTTTTGCAAAAATGCACCGTTTAGCAGTTTGAAAAGCGTGCGCGCGGAAAACGAAGGAGAGGGGTTGGGAACCTTGAGTATAGAACACAGCCTAAATGGGCTATTCACACATCAATGAGCATACTGTGATGCCAATACATCTTCATGATGTTGCTTCTCTAAGGAAGTCTTCCTAAAAGTTTCAACAATTGTGTATCACGTGGCCAAGTTTTATGTTGCTTATAATTCGATTTGCCCTGAGCTCTCTCTTTGTTTTCAGATGGTGATGCTAACCGCGCCAGGGAATTGTTAAGATCAGAGTGTGACAGCAAATCAAGCTTGTTTTATGTTGAGCTACCAGAAGGTTCAGTGCTTTTACATTTGGTTGACAGTAATGAGAAGTTCCCTGCTCAGTTTGGCCGTGAGGTATATATACCATATGATAATCGTTAAGGCCTTTTTTTGTCTGAAAAATAACCTACATGGGGATGGAAAGAAAATAATGATATCGTCGAAACCTAACTGTCAATCTACAGGTGTTGGCTGGGTTGCTAAGCATGGCAGATCGTGCAGATTGGAGGAACTGTAAGGTTTCTAAAGAAGAAGAAATCCAGATGGTGGATGATTTTAAACAAGGGTTTCGTGAGTTTGATCCAGCTGAATGACAATGTGCTTAAGTTGCTAATTTGTCACCGGACAAGAACGTGCTGCTAAACTTGCATTGTATTTTTGTAGTTGAAAGTACTTAGGTAGGCCATATTTGAGAAATGGACCGACTTTGAGGTCCATTATTGTAATTTCTATTGATTGATTCGGGAACAATTTTTTTTTCAGTTAAGAGTTAAAATTTGGCCGTAGTGCCACGTTTGTTCTTCGAGACTTCTCGTATACAATGTGATGATCTGAGGCGATGGGCAGTGGTCGAAATTCTTATATATCTTTTTTCTTTAGACCTGTGTCCTAAAGTAGGAAATAACACATTTTTCTTGTGCTTGTCGATGCAGAACCTGATTGTTTTTTTCGCACTTAATGTGTAGTTGGTTTGAGGAAAAAAAAGGGTCCAATTAGAAAAAAAAAAAGAAAACATGAATTCCCAAAAAAACGAGAATGGAACGTACTAGCGTTTGTTTGAACATATGACAAATTTGACCGCGATATCTTTTATCGCTTCCTATTTTCTAAACCTTGACTTTTGAAGGAGAAAAATTAGAATAAAATAAAAACCATATTTAAAATCATTTCTCGTTGCTCGAGTAACAAAAAAATAGAATAAAAAAAATCATATTTAAAATTATTTCTTGTTGCTCGAGTCACGTTAGCCTACAAGGGATAACAAAATCAAACATTTGTCACGTGTCAGCAGCCAAAAAAAGCTCGACCAAATAACTATAAAATCGTGCATAACCTCATTAAAATATTGATAAAATATATTAATACTATGGATATCAGTTCACAAATGCATGTTAGAACTATTAGGAGCGGCCAAACATGCATCAGCCCATGCCCACCCTACCCCATGTCTAGGCATCCCACTTCTACCGTTGTCGGAGTAAACGATTTACTCATATCACGCGCCCCTACCACTCACCTTTATTCGAGTAAACGATCTACTTCAATAATAAAAACAACTTCCCTGCTTCCGATCCCACCCTACATGGCGCATCGTGCTCCCACCATTACCAGAATAAATGATTTACTTCAATAAAAACAACTTCTCTGCTTCCGGTATATATTCTATTTTTCTCGTACCCAACCAACCACTCTCGCCCCCATTTCTTTTTTTTTCTTTTTTTCGGATCTGAATCGATCCACCATCCCAGCCCACAAATCGGCGACACACCATGAAGGAGGACAATGACACCTTGGCGGTTGATGGCGGTGATCGGCGGCTGTTGAGGCGACGACACTGCTTGGGGCCTCGCTACCGAACGCTGGGCAGCACCTTAACTAGCAAGGAGGTGTTCACCTGGGCCAATAGCAAAAACCAGCGGCTGCTCCATGTCGGCGACATTGATAGAACAAACAAGTAAGGAATTGACACTGATTTTCATCTGCATACTCTCCTTCAACTTCACGTATGAAGCCCCAAATTATTTTTTTGCAAATCAAATTAACTTGCAATCTGCAATATTACCTGATCTCAATTGATGGGCTACACAAGTCCTACATTTGCACATCGTGCTCCATGTGGCTGGCTGCAGAGGATAGGGTGGAGTCCGCCGGTGATGGAGGTTGTTTGCTATTTTTCTTTTACTCGTCATCTCTATCGACATGAACGAGAATGTTTTTGTATTTTTTTCGTGCTTGCTAGATGATGGATGGCTGCTACTGCGCAACGTCGAGCTCATCTCTAGACCACACCGCTACATCCTTCCATGATTCCATCATCGACTACTGCTCGCCAACTGGTTGCCCTCTCCACTACCAGTCACAAGACACATACCATCCTCTTCATCCTTATAGCAAGATCCAGCAAAGCCACTAGACGGATTTTTGACAGAATCATTTTTTTCTTTTCTAGTTTGATTCACCTGTGAGTAATTTTATCGCTTGTGTGTGATTGAGCCTATAATTTTTTCATTCGTATGACTATTTTGTGATATAGATCACTAGTTTTTACTCTTATACTGTATATTGAACACATCAGTAAACATATTACTACACGGTGGCTACGAGATCATGGCTATATCGATAGGAAAGTGTAATTATTTTACTCGCAGACCATGAAATCTCAATTTTTACTCTTATGTATTGTGTATTGAACACATCAGTAAACATATTACTATACGGTGGCTACGTGATCCTGGGCTATATCGAGAGAAAGGTAGTAATTGTTTTACTCACAGACCACGAACTGTAAACAATATTTATAATATTGGTAAAATAATTACTAGCATTGTAAGCTGGTAGTAATTCTTTTATAACCATCTAGATATGACGTCATACGATGTTGAGACATTCATGTGAGTAAATATGTTACTTTTAAATGAGTAGTTGTGAGAGGCATTCGTTACTTCCAAAATGCGCAGAGATACTAGGAGAACAAACTCAGAAAAAAAAACTAGAAGCTAAATATTTTACTAAAACGCGAAAACATAATAACTACATAGAAGAAACGAAAAAACAGAAAAAATTACTAAAACATGAAAACAGAATAACTACAAAGAAAAAACGCACGGATAAGGTGGAAAGGAGAAAAAAAACAAAAAAAAAAGTAGGATGCAGAGAAAAAGGTGGGGTGGTAAAAAAACAAAAACCGGAGAGAATGTTATACGGCGCTCGATCTATTATTCCGCACTCTAGCGCTACCGTAAACATTTCTCGAGTTTATCTCCGTTTCTTTTCTGTTTTTTTCCGTTACAACGCACGGACCGCAACTTCGTTCGTCGAACGATTTTCAAACGTGCAACGGCTACTGCAAAATTACGAACCGAATTACGAAAGAAATCGAAATTCTCCCCCGTTAATAATCCACGTTTTCCGATGCATCCATGACTCATTCTTCGTCCGTTCGACCGATCGACGCGTATTGTTTGGATCAGGTTTGTTCATCGGCCAGCTAGCTATACCTGCAGGTAGCTCGATCCAAATTAACCAAAAAAACAAAAGAGGTTACCTTAAATAGCCTAATTGCGCAATTAGCCACCACTAATCACGCAGCGAAACACGGTCCCCTCCTCTCTTCTCCTCCACTCACCAAGTCACCATCGCACCGACCTCGCCGGCCGCGGCGGCCGCGGCGGCGGCGGAGGCGGAGGCGGAGGCGGAGCCAGCAATGACGGCGTCTTCCTCCACCACCAACTCCTCCTCCTCCGTCTCCACCGCCGACACCTCCTCCTCCAACCCACCGCCGCAACACGCGCTCCACCGCCAACACATCGCCAGCAGCAGCGCTAGCAGCGGAGGCGGAGGCGCCGCGGCGCCGCTTCCGCCGCGCGCGCCCCCGCGCGTAGGCGGCGGCGGCGGCGGCGGCGTAGGGCAGAGCCAGGCGTGCGCCGCGTGCAAGTACCAGCGGCGCAAGTGCAACGCGGACTGCCCGCTCGCGCGCTACTTCCCCGCCGACGAGCAGCGGCGATTCCTCAACGCGCACCACCTGTTCGGCGTCAGCAAGATCCAGAAGACGCTGCGGGACACGCCGCCGGAGCTCCACGCCGACGCCATGCAGGCGCTCACGTTCGAGGCCAACGCGCGCGCCAGCGACCCCGTCGGCGGCGCGGCGCGCGTCGTCGTCGAGCTCTGCCGCCAGTACGAGATGCTGCACGCCGAGCTCGCCGCCGTCCAGCACCACCTCAAGCTCTGCCGCCAGCAGCACGCCGCTGCGGCGGCGGCGGCAGCCAACGATCCACTCGTCGCGAACGTCGACCCGCTCGCTGACCCGGCAGCGGAAATGCTCTTCGCCGGCGCCGTCGTCCCTAACCAGAACGACGACGCCATGGTCGACGCGTTCTACGCCGACCAACAAACCGCCGGCGACGGCGACCAAGAGCAATACCTCGTCAAGGACGAGGCACTAGCTGCGCAACCGCCGCCGCAACAACCCTACGAGTACTTGAACTACGGGACGGCCGGCGACGAGGGCAGCAGCCACGCCTGGTACACCGGCAACGGCGGCGACGCCGACGCCTCGCCGCCGATGGGTTTGAGCGATCAGCTCCAGCAGTGCCAGATCGGGGCCGCGCCGCCGTTCGATGTGAAGCCTGAGCTGCCGGCGACGATGGAACACGGCGGTAGCGTGTTCGTCGAACAGCCGGAGCAGAAGATTCTGCCGGCGGCAGGGTCGTCGTCGTCGGCGGCGGCGCATTGCCAGCTGGAGCTTGGGTGCTCTTCTAATGCTTGGAAAGTTGGAACACACGTTATTAATTAATTAATTAATTAGTTTCTCGATTTGATTGATTCGGATATGATGAAATGCTTGTTGCATTTCAAATTTTGGCTTGTTGAGTTAGGAGTTAATTACAAAAATAATCACTAGACTAGCTTATAAATAGTCAAGTTTTAATTAATAGTAGATGATGTATCTATGAATGAGAGTGCAAATAAAAGGCTCTGTCTATTAATGAGGTTAATGAAATTTTCTACCTCCACCAAGGAACAGAGGAAATCACCTTCACTATCACCGTTTGAGTTTCGCCATCTCCCTCAAATCATTGGCAAGAGATGAATTCTGATCCAGTTATGTCCATGCATTATTCGACTGAAATTTGAGGAAATCTGAGAAACAAAGTTTTTACATATAGATCTTTTCAAGGAAAAAAGGAGAATAAATAATAATGTTGTACAAATGTTTTTTTAAATCAAATTTACTCCTTTGTTCTTGCGAGAGATATATAAGTATCAAATTAATCATAGGTGATGACGGAAAAAGGCTATGCGCCTATGCGACGTGGCTCCTCTATTGGATTGTGATGGGCTGCCTATTGGGCTGGGAAGCCAGGGAGACCTGCGGCTGGGCCAAATGAGTAAGGCTAGACTATGGGGGTTTGAAAATTCTGAAAAATATATAAATACTAGACCACTATTTTTTTTTCACTAGTGCTCAGTCCTAAGCTGCCTCAGGTCCAATTCCACCCATGGTGAGAAGAGCACCAGAATAATAGTGAGAATGATTCATATTTTTGTTCTTTTGGTGAAAAAGGAAAGAAAACACATACTATCTTCATTTTTTTAATATAGACAAATTTTACTACATAACATTTTAATTTCGTGGTTTTAACTGTAGAACACTGCACAAACTCACTTTTTTTTTGAAGGGGGGACACTCTATAATATACCGTGGTAATTTTTCAGCAGACACCGCACCGATTAAAATAATGTATCCGTGTTGACAACGTGTTAGGGGGGCCGATTTTTTATGTCGAGTGACCGAAATGCCCTTGCACCTTTTGGTGATATTGACCAGGTCGGCGGTGCTATTTGCCGACACCGAAGGCGAACAGCGGCGATTCGCACGTTGTGGCCAAAAGAAAAAAAAATGTAGAGGAGGTCAAGACGAACACAACGGTGGTACATGCAGACAGAATGGCCACGGGAGTCAACGCCGGTTGCGATGCAAGCGGGTTGGAGTTTCGGCATGTGTGTGCATGTTGTGCTATAGGCTCGATTTGGCTAGGGGAGTGCATTCATGTGGCTCTGGGGTCTCTAACGGCAGCCCCAACCCTTCATCTAGAATTGTGTTTATGGCATTAACTATATTGTCATATATGACTTTTAGCTTATGTGGCACTATATTAATTAAGAGAGAGAGTGAAAAAAGGAAGAAACTGGGTCTCATGCAAGATACAGCTTCAACACAAGAACCTATGTACTAGACGCTATCAAGTTTTGCATTGGGAGATAATAGTGTCTTCATAATAGATGAAGAATAAATATGATTGGTAGATAAGAGAGATAATGTATTTATTAATGGCCCACTTTAAGAAACCATGGGTTGTAGAGTGTAGTTTCTATTGTGATGTCTTAGGGCAGTCCCAACCCATAGTGTCTATAAGTAGTGTCTATGATGCTATGTCAATAAGACCCCCGGGGGAAATAGAGATGTCTCCTACGTTACCCATAATATGTAGAAGTATCGACGTAATTTCATAGAGTCATTCGATCTGAATGTTACATGAAGAACATAAGCCAGATGACGGAACGCGGAGACCTAGGATGTAGAACATCATAACATGAGCGATTCGGCAGATTTGGATTCCTTTCCTATATATCCACTCATGTGGTACTTCATCATGCGATTCATATAAGATCCATCTGTCTAGAGATCGTCATATACATCTAGAAAGCCGTATGCTTTGGAAGAAGCTTGTACAGTTTGGGAAGAGGTTTTTTGAGAGAAAAGAAGAATCTACTTCAACCGATATGCCCTTAGGCACGGCCATACATAACATAGAAATCACACGTGGAAGGGGTGGCTAATTAGCTAGAGCAGCAGGTGTTGTAGCGAAACTGATTGCAAAAGAAGGTAAATCGGCCACTTTAAGATTACCATTTGGGGAGGTCCGTTTGGTATCCCAAAACTGCTTAGCAACAGTTGGACAAGTGGGTAATGTTGAGGTGAACCAGAAAAGTTTGGGTAGAGCCGGGTCTAAGTGTTGGCTAGGTAAACGCCCCGTAGTAAGAGGGGTAGTTATGAACCCTGTGGACCACCTCCATGGGGGCGGTGAAGGGAAAGCCCCCATTGGTAGAAAAAACCCACAACCCCTTGGGGTTATCCTGCGCTTGGAAGAAGAACTAGGAAAAGGAAAAAATATAGTGATAGTTTTATTCTTCGTCGCCGTAAGTAAATACGTAACTAGGAATATGGAAAATTGCATTTTTGGAATTTGCAATAATGGGATGGGCGAACGACGGGAATTGAACCCGCGCATGGTGGATTCACAATCCACTGCCTTGATCCACTTGGCTACATCCGCCCCTTATCCAGCTAAAGGATTTTCTCTTTTTTCCATTCATCATTATTCTATTTATTCTGACCTCCATACTTCGATCAAGATATTGGACATCGAATGCCACTCTTTAAAATGGAAAAAAAAGGAGTAATCAGCTGTGACACGAAAAAAAATGAATCCTTTTGTAGCTCATCATTTATTGGCAAAAATAGAAAAGGTCAATATGAAGGAGGAGAAAGAAACAATAGTAACGTGGTCCCGGGCATCTAGCATTCTACCCGCAATGGTTGGCCATACAATCGCGATTCATAATGGAAAGGAACATATACCAATTTACATAACAAATCCTATGGTAGGTCGCAAATTGGGGGAATTCGTACCAACTCGGCATTTCACGAGTTATGAAAGTGCAAGAAAGGATACTAAATCTCGTCGTTAACTGAATTCAGAATAGAAAGATTCAAAATAAAAAAAAAGAAATAGGTAAGCGGGGAATAACCTTATTTATAACAAGTTTCAAACTGGTAAAGTATACCCCTGGGATAAAGAAGAAGAAGAGTGGGCTAAGGAAACTCGCAAGAAAAGTACCAACCGATCATCTACTTAAGTTCGAACGGGTTTTCAAAGCACAAAAACGCATCCACATGTCCGTTTTCAAAGTACAAAGAGTTCTGGATGAGATTCGTTGGCGTTACTACGAAGAAACTGTTATGATATTGAACCTCATGCCTTATCGAGCATCTTATCCCATCTTAAAGTTGGTTTATTCGGTAGCAGCAAATGCTACTCATTATAGGGATTTCGACAAAGCAAATTTATTCATCACTAAAGCCGAAGTCAGTAGTACTATTATGAATAAATTCAGACCTCGGGCTCGAGGACGTAGTTCTCCCATAAAAAAAAACCATGTGTCATATAACAATTGTACTAAATATAGTAAAGAAATCGAAATAATCTTTAGATCCATCTAAGATTTGATTCCCGGTAAAAAAATAGAATAGAAAAATATGGGACAAAAAATAAATCCACTTGGTTTCAGACTTGGTACAACCCAAAATCACCATTCCTTTTGGTTCGCACAACCAAAAAATTATTCTGAAGGTCTACAGGAAGATAAAAAAATACGGAATTGTATCAAGAACTATATACAAAAGAATAGGAAAAAGGGCTCGAATAGAAAAATAGAAGCAGACTCAAGTTTCGAAGTAATTACACATAATAAAAAAAATGGACTCAGGCTCAAGTTCCGAAGTAATTACACATAGAAATTCAAAAAGAAATCGATACAATCCATGTCATAATACATATTGGATTCCCCAATTTATTAAAGAAAAAAGGAGCAATCGAAGAATTAGAGAAAGATCTACAAAAAGAAGTTAATTCTGTAAACCAGAGACTTAATATTGGGATCGAAAAAGTGAAAGAACCTTATAGACAACCTAACATTCTTGCAGAATATATAGCTTTCCAATTAAAAAATAGAGTTTCATTCCAAAAGGCAATGAAAAAAGCCATTGAATTAACTAAAAAAAACAGATATAAAGGGAGTAAAAGTAAAAATTGCAGGCCGTCTCGCGGGAAAAGAAATTGCGCGTGCCGAATGCATCAAAAAAGATAGACTTCCCCTCCAAACAATTCACGCTAAAATTGATTATTGCTGCTATCCAATTCGAACTATCTATGGAGTATTAGGAGTTAAAATTTGGATATTCGTAGACGAAGAATAACCAACCCTGTCTTCCCATTCTGTTCAGTAATAGAATAAAAAATGACAAGATACTTATTTTCCCTAAAATCCCTGAAAAAAAGAAGAAATTCTACCTCTTTCTATAAGATTTAATGAAAATTGAGAAATCTTTTAATAAAATTGCTATGCTTAGTGTGTGACTCGTTAGTTTTTTTTAGGGTTCAAAAAGGGGATTAAAAAAATAGAATGAACCCTACTATGTAATTATATAAAATGAACTAATAACCAACCTATTGCTTCGTATTGTTGAGATCCTAACTAAGAAACAGTCACTATATGAATAAATACATCTATCATAAATGAGTAAATCTATCATATACGTGTAGCAACTGCAATTTTTTGTTTTTAAAAAAATAGGATTCTAAGTTGTGAAGCAAAACTAAAGGGGATGTAGATAAAAGGAAGGATGATAGAAAGAAGGAAGAGAAATAAGAAAGATATAGGATTCCAATATGTATGGTCTATGAATTACATCATAAAAAGCAATGTGATAAAGCATCAATATAATAAAAATAACAAAGAATTCGAAATCGTAATTTGATTGAAACAAGAAATACAAATTTCAAGGAATAACAAAGAGTGTCCCGAGTTAATAAAACTGAGAAATTGACTTGGAAAGAAATTTTTTGGAAGCTCCATTGTGAGATTAAAACCTAACCATTAAAGGAGAAGCCGTGGGAACGACAGAACCTATGACTGGATAGGATTTTCTTGAAAAGAATCCCAATACTTCATTGGGTGGGATGGCGGAACAAACCAAAAAAATTGTCTTATTTGATAACAAATAAGACAGGAAAGAGTAAATATTCGCCCGCGAAATTTTTATTGAATTAGAATACTTTACCGCGATTCAATAAGAGTAAAATACAAAAAGGAGATTAAAAAAAAGAATTACATTAAATATAGAATATAGATAAATAAACATACACATCTAGATATATTCTAGATCCTCTTTCTTGACTATATATTT